AGTCCTCAAAAACAACGACAATTGACCCTACTGCGGTCGGTTGACATTTTTGCCAAAAGGAAAACCCGTGTTTGCGGTCGAAGACACGGAGATGGAAGTTAGATCATTGAAGCAATAATTATTTCCCAGGCACTCCAGCAAGGGAGTTAGCTGGATTTGATACAACGATAGGCAGGCTGTTCCAGAGGCCACTGCAATACCGTGAGAAACCCTGGTAACCTCTCTGGAAAAATGCCGGCAGCAAGAAGTCACCCTCGGCCCCAAGACCTTTGGCCAAGTGGCCCGCTACCGGCGAAGTCTATCATGCGGTTTCCGCGGTCTCCCTATCTTCGACTGTTAAGTTTCAAATTCTTCAAGGTCTATCACCCATAGGGAACCGGACACGTTCTTGTCCCCCCCTGTTGTTTGTTACAGAAACACCCTGATGTTTGTTACAGAAACACGAGCGACGACCAATGCCTCATTGACAAACCTGCTAGATGTAAGACATTCCAAGCCGAGTGGCCGAGATTGACCAGGATCCTCGAAGGCCCTATCGTCGCCTCGTCAGAGATAACATTTCGCCAGGCTATGTTGCGTTCTTGATATACCAGACATTGTCGCGCTTGGCTCCTGCTTCTTTTCTCCCATCGTCTTCCTCACCAATAGAAGGGAGGGCAGCAGCCGCTCTACAGTCCATATCCTCTGGCAAAAGGTCCCTCCCTTCCTCCCGTGTGTCTTCGGAGATCCCATACTGGTACAGATACAACGCAATCCCTCTTAAGGTCGCACATGTACACGATGATACTCTAACACAGTCGGAAAAGCCCGGAGGTTCTATACATAGCCACGGCCGCAATATCCCTTTATCGGGATCTACGGAGCGTACTTGGCTTTGAATCAGAAGCGTTTGTGATCCATATCCACTTCCAGAATAAGACTGGCCGTCTGCGATCTGCGGCCAAGATGCCCCTATTTAGTCTAGGGCCGTGTACGTCTATGGTAAGCACACCACTGTTAAATAGACCGACTCTCGGCGCGACGAAGAAATCCTTTACCCTTTCCCCATCGCCTACCTGACCATTATCCATCAGCAGCGCTGGGATACAAGGTGACCGTCATCCCACAAAAGGCTAAGACCAAAATTCTGCAGCTCGTTATTTCAAGTTTTTCCTTTTCTGACTTGATTCTCTTGGGGGATCTTATCTGCATCCCTAGATGTCCTTTTAATTTTCCTTATATCTCCTCCAAGCCTGGTTGATAGCTGCTGTTATTCCCGTCTTCCATCATCCAAGTTTACTCCATCATCGTATAATCGATAACTAAAGAGATCATCACCTTAACCAAAAGACCTTGCCGGCCAAGGCATCCTTTCTCGCCAAAAACGTACCATAGGCCTCCCGGCGTACGGAAACCCCAAGCCCTTGGAGGTAAAGCCACAATCAACGAGCCAAGATGCCTACGCTTGATCCCAGCGAATTGAACATTGTGTTGTCCGTCTTTGGTGGGTACCCCAAGCCTTGGTCCGTTTAGTTGCATGTGACTAACTGTTGTTTCCCTTTTCTTTCCTGCAGGCGCGTTCATCATCCTGTATGGCGTCCTCTCTGTGAAGATCAAGAATGTGTGGTACTTGGGCGAGGCCTGTAAGTTGTGACCAGTCGATGCTACTCACCTCGCATAATACACCTTGCATACTGGCATCATCATACCTAAGATAAACTGACACGTTGCCTTTTACGCAGTACCGGCCGTAGTGTTAGGTGTATGCCTTGGTCCACTAGCGGCCAAATTTCTCGACAGTGAACGATGGGGGTCGGCTGTCGAGGGCCAAACCAGTGATATCACTCTCGTGTGTATACCTTCACCAATTCCTCAATATGGGAAGCCTTTTACAGCGTGCTGACCGATATTATGTATCCATAGGGTGTTACGAGAGTGATGATCGGTATCCAGCTAGTCATGGCTGGTTACCAGCTCCCGGCAAAATACCAGAGGAACAGGTGGAAGGATATGCTCGTCCTCATGGTCCCCGTCATGACCATGATGTTGTTGGCCTCAACCATCTGCATCCTCGCGACGATCCCCAAAGTGACGCTTCTGGGCGCCATGGTTATCGCTTCTTGTGTTACCTCGACAGACCCGGTCTTATCACAAGCAGTTGCCAAGGGACCCTTTTCTGACAAGTTCGTCAGGCGTTCTTTGCGTGAAATCATCTCATCCGAAGCCGGCGGCAACGACGGGTTCGGGTTCCCGTTTCTGATGCTGGCCACGTACCTCATGCGGCATGCCGAGAACCCTGACTTGTCTGCCGGCAATTCGACGATAGAGACTGTTGCACGAGCAATCCTTCCCCGTGCAGGGGACGTTGCCCGCCAGGGGGACGGCATCGGTGTCGCGATGATGAACTGGCTCCTCGAGACCTGGCTCTACTTTATTCTGATGAGTATCGTCTATGGTGCCATTGTCGGAACAATGATCAAATTCGCCCTCAAGTTCGTTGTCAGGAGGCAAGTCAAACAAGTATAAAATAAGAATGCAAAAGCCTAACATCAGCACAGAAGATGGATCGACTCGGAGAGCTACGTGCTCATGCCTACCGCCATCGGTGTAAGTTGCAACCGCAGCTTCACTGCATCAAGTCATGACTAATAACACCAATGGTAGCTCTTCCTAATAGGCACATGTGGAGCGATTGGAACCGATGATCTTCTGGCCTGCTTCGTTGCTGGCGCTGCACTCAACTGGGATGGCGAGTACCTGGCCGAGTCCCAGAAGCGACACGACGAGGTTAACGCCAGCATTGATGTTCTTCTCAACTTTGGCGGCTTCATCTATCTTGGCACCATCATCCCCTGGAGCGAGTTCAACTCGGACATAACCGGCATCAGCCCTGGCCGTCTCTTCGGCCTCGGCGCGCTTGTCCTTGCCTTCCGCCGTATTCCTGCTATCCTCCTCACTTACAAGCTCATGCCCGACACCGTCAAGGACTGGAAGGAAGCCCTTTTCATGGGATACTTTGGTCCCATCGGTGTTGGTGCGGTTTTCTACGTGGAGCATGCCCGCCATCTCTTCCCCACGATCACCGAAGCCGCAGGTGACAGTGAGGTTACGGACATGCTCCGAGCTATGAGGCCTGTTGTTTACTGGCTAGCGCTTTTCTCCATCGTCGTTCACGGTCTTTCCATCCCCACCCTCAATATCATCTACGAGTACATGGGCGTGCAGCCTATCCAGGAGGATGCCGTCGCAGTCAAACGCAGGTCTGTCCGCGTACCTCCGCCTGCCAACGCTATCGAGGGCGACAAGGAAACCTTCATCGCCTTCAACCGGTTCTCGCGACCTAACCTGTCTGCGGAGTCGCTGTCGCACCTACGCGACGACGATTCTATCATAGACGAGAAGGTTAGGTACCCAGACCTAGAGACGGGCCTAGCGCAAGCCAAGCAGAACGCGCAGTTTTCGCCGAAAAGCAGCTTCAACTTCCAATCAGTAAGCTCGCCTCGGAGCCGTAACCTGCCACGAACGAGCGTTAGCCAAGTCAAGTGGGACCAGTCCCGTGTCACGCAAGGTTGACATGCATGACGAAGGAAGAGATTGTGAAATTTGGAAGGATTTTATCGGATACCCTTACCGCACTAATTGAGACAACAATGACTTTACGTGTGTTGGGTCCGGTTGGAACTTCAAGATGAACCAACAGGCTCATTAATACTGTCATTACCAAACCGAACGCCCAAAGTCACTCGTTGAGCAGTTCCGATAGAGATTTCGATAGCCGACGCGCAGTCTGGAACGACGCGATTATTATAGAAATCCATTTGAAATATCAACATGCCGAATAGTGTCTTGATCGTGAAGGCTTCATTTTTCTATGTTCTGGACCGTAAAATAGTACCACGCAACCCAATGCTTTGGCCAATGCGAGCTATCCCCTACTTCGGCTCAACTCTCTCAACCTACTGTGCTCCAGAATTAGGTGGCCAATTGAAATAGGCAGTATTTTGCAAGAGATGCTTGCAATAAAAGCTCCTGTGGATTGGGACCCCCAGCAATGCCTATTGTACTATGTTCACGGGGCTCCTAACCTTGTGCAAAGCTGGATTTTCAAGTTTGCCTGAGTTCAGAGCTACCAATAGGACTTTCTCATGTGGATCACAGAAAGATCTAATTGTTGGTGAACTAAAACCTGGGGACAGTGCCTTGAGCAAAGACGAAGGATCATCTGAGCAGGATCGTTTTTGCTATGGTCAACATAGGCATGGAACGAAAGGCCAATGCCGTCTCAGTTTTGTTGGCCGGACTTCATGCTGGAGGAATGAAACAACGCCGTGTCAAATATGACTCGTAGGAAAAGTTCATGACCATGGCCTCAGATCCAAAGACGTCGACACGCCGTCCGGACCTCAGTGAGCCACAAGCCCCGACCGAGTATCCAAACTCGCCCGGCCTGCAAATGATGGAACCGAGATCTTGCCTCATCTCGAGTGGTTAGTTATGTTTGCCGTGGGCTATGATTCGAATATTACCAGAAACTGGGATGAATGTAACGTCGCCACACCGGGAATGAGACTCGTGATGTGTGTAACTCATCATCAGACCAGCATGGAGGTTGCCATCGGCCAAGCCTGGCCCTTTTGTACATGCACTAACTGCTCCCGGCGGCAGCACAACGGCTAAAGGGTGCAACTTCGGGACGATCCCCCAGAAACGCACCCAAATGCCCAACGTTGGAGCTAGAAAGCCAAAGAATCATGCGGCCAAACGATGTTTCGGTGCGGGGGAACGGACGTTATGGGTGGCGATCCGGAGACATTACCCCACTAGACTTGGCGCGTGTCATTCCTTTTGGGGCTCGATCGTCTCATGCAATGATCCGTTTCACACAGACAAACCTCCATATGTGAGCTCGACTTCATAAGTGAGCGACCGGTAGCCCAAGGATCATTTCCGTTCATTGTGGGTTGAAAATATCGCACAGACTCGTTCCAGCATATCGGTTTCGATTGCCAGAAACGCTTTTGATAGTATCCGTACACTCACAGCAGCGTCCGTTCGTGGGTCCTAGTGCTTGCGGCATCTGATTCATCTCTTGATTTGGTTTGGAGGCTCCGGCATCCAGCCACCATGATTGGTTCGACAATCATCGCATCGCTAGCCGCAGGCCTGGCCCTCGGACTGGAAGCCCCTCGGGCCTCTAGCGACATTCATCTTTCGGAGGCGGGTGCGGATACCCCAAGCCCCAGTGACTGGGCCGAACGAGCGGAGAAGGATGGCCGGAGGCTCTGCATCGTAGAACCGGACGCCAATGGCGGAGACGATGCTCCGGCGCTACTTGCCGCGCTGAACGACGAGTGCCGGACCAAGAGCATCATCGTGCTACCGGGCCCTGTTTACCACATTAACTCGCCGATGGTGACCACGGATCTGGACGACGTGGTGATTGACCAGCGCGGCAGGCTGCTTTGGAGCGACGACACCTCGTACTGGCTCTCCGTGTCGATGCCCGTGGGATTCCAGAACCAGAGTACGGTATGGCACTTTGGCGGCGACGGCGTGGTTTGGGAAGGCCACGGGGTCGGCACGCTCGACGGCAACGGTCAGGTCTGGTACGATCTGAATAAGGGAGGGTCCAACATGCCTCACCGGCCGATGAACATCAACTTCCGGGGCTTTTCCAACTCCGTCGTCAGAGGGCTCCGGTTCGTCCAGAGCCAAATGTGGACAATGAACATCATGTACTCGAAGAACCTGGTCTTTGAGGACATCTACGTCAACAGCACGTCGTCCACGGAGAACAACTCCCTCAACACGGACGGCGCCGACACCATGTACTCGGACAACATCACCTTCAGGCGGTGGGTCGTGGTGAACGGCGACGACGCCATCGCTTTGAAAGCCAACTCGAGCAACATCTACATCTACGACAGCGAGTTCTTTGGCAGCACCGGCATCGCCATGGGCTCCATCGGACAGTTCCTCGGACAGTTTGAGTACATTGAGAACTTCTCGGCGAGGAACGTCACGCTGCACGACACGCTCCGGGGCTGCTACTTCAAGACGTGGACCGGCAACCAGATCGGGTACCCGCCCAACGGCGGCGGCGGCGGGACGGGCTACGCCCGCAACATCGTCCTGGAGGACATCAAGCTGGACCGCACCCGCGGGGAACCGCTCTTCATCACCCAGTGCGAGTCGTACTCGGGCCACGCGGGCGAGTCGTGCGACACGTCGACCTTTAAGATCTCGGACGTCGTGTGGAAGGACTTCAGCGGGACCGTGACGGACGCCGTCCCCAGCGCGGGCTTCTTCCGGTGCAGCAGCGCGGCCGCCGGCGGGTGCAGCAACCTGACGGTCGAGAACTTCGCCGTCAAGCCCGTGGGCAACGACGCAGTTATTGACAAGTGGCTTTGCAAGAACGTCCTCGGGAGTGACGGGTTCGACTGCCAAGAGATAGAGGAGAATGCCGATGAGCTGTGAGCAACGGTTTTTCGTATCGCTTCCCAGATCCGACGGATCCGGGCCCTGCTCCGGGAATAGTCTAGACTGCATAGTGACGCGCAGCTGGCTCCACTTCATTCTTGAATGAAGGTGCGAGCTCTCATTAGCAGCCGCTTTAACTCCAGTGGCGGGCGTATTTCGCTATGGGTGGACACACTATCGTATGTGTCCAAGGGTTTTTATCACTAGTATGTTTTGCATCCTGATGGGTTGTGACACAATAGCGCACTCCCGGGAACGTATCTAGACCATGCTCGAGGAGTCAAGAACCCCCAGGCCGATATCTAGAGTACATTGGACTAATGGGAAGTGAATGATGCTGTAATTACTTCACGGCTCGCAGACGTGACTGAGCCACGGCCAGATGATGGCCTTGTCATGACGGCAGGTCCCGCTAAGCTCGATGACCGCAGAAGAGCCGCGAAGCAGCGGCAGTAGTTCTGATAAGCGCTTGACACTGCCTAATCAGCGCCGAGTGTGGCTGGATATCAAGCTCTTTGTCCTCAGCCGCGGATTCTGCAGCCTGAATCCCAGCAGAACTACGTGGTCCGTCTACTGGCCCCGGCAACACGTAAGCTTGTGGCATTGAAAGGTGGGCAGGTATTACTGCAAGGTCGGTGGTGTCGAGCTAAGGAAAAGCTTACTCCTTTGCGGGAGGTTTCCTGTTCCTTGGGGTTTTGTGCGGTCAGACGCGTCTTTGAGCTGATGTTTTTGTGCTAATCAATGAGCGCGCGACGCCAAGCCGCACTGCCTCTGTGCGAACCTCATAATCTCTGAGAGAGGGCTCACCTATTGCATGAACCGACTTGGACAGACTTCTGGAAAATGATCGATGCTGTGCACGAGATGCCAAAAGACTTTCAGCTTCGAACGCTTGGCGGGTATCACAACACGCCCAACCCATCGTCCTTCTGGAAAAGGCCAAAGGCGTCCTGTGTATCCGTATTTCCAGACTCTACCACGTAACATGGATTGCAAGAATCCAGTCTTTCTTTCTCAGGTACGGCTTGGTGCCGCGTACAAACCCCTGGAATCGATCCGGCTGTTCCGACTGCCAAGCAATGGATGCGAAGCAGCGCAGTGTGCGTCCAATGAATGAGTGGGTAGAAAGTGACGCGGAAAGATAATGAGATCCACCGGAACTGCGGTGGGTTTCTCCCGCATCCCCCATCCTTCTCACTAACCGCTCCGTTCATGTCGATTGTACTCCGTAGCGGGTTCAACATGGAGTCCTGGCTGAGCAGGGGATGGAGACGGAAGGGAAACCGGGTTTGGCTCGCCCTGCAGCGTGTTGCTGGGTGTCATCACGCACGTCAAAGGAGGACTTGGGTCGCGTGCCCACCTACCTGTGCCAAGCCTTTCGGGAGGAGGAGGGAGAGTAAGAGGAGGATCTCATTGGAGGGGGGAGGAAATGGGTGTGGGACGTCAGTCGTGTCTCCAATCTATCCTTGACGACGCCCCAAGAGTGAGTCCTGTCAGACGAAGCTCCGTGCGGCCGCACCGCAACGTGTGCCCAAGGTTGATGGCATACCCAATCTTCCGAGGCCGATCTGATATTGCTTGACCTGGAGTCCTAAAAGGGCGTGAGGCGACCTTTTTACGCCCGAGTGGGCGTATTCCATCATGCACTCTCTAATGCTGTCTGCCTTGCGAATGCTTATCACTAGCCTCGTCGTCCCTCACTCTCTCCTTTTCACTCCCGCGACCCTGGGTGGATTTGGCATATTGTATTAATTTCACGAAGCTCACTCCCTTTTCTAATATACTTTTGGAAGACACGGGCTTCTGCTTCGTTCTGCTTTCTCCTATCAATAGTACTGATTCCGGCCTGCGTTCTCTTTCCGGGATACCCACCAAGACGTTGTTTCTTCATCTCACCCACGTACACATCCAATCATGAGTTCAGGGCTTGGCGTCTTGCGAAATGTTATCGAACCAGCATGTAAGTTCCGTTTCCGGTCCCGAGTGGAAGAAAAGCTGGACACAAACAACGTTTTGCTCCTCCGTCAACTAACCATCCGCCGTTGCTTTCCAGTCATCGTCTTTGCCTTCACCGTCGGCACCCTCATCAACCGCCGAAGACCGGATCTCGATGATGACGTAGACTCCTGCGAGCGTGGGTCGGAGGACTCCTACTCGCCCCCATCCTCTCCACTTCTCAAACCGGGGATGCGCGCCGTATCGTACGAAGAGTCCCGCATCAACAAGAAGCTCCTTGTGCGGTTCTACCGCACGTTTCCCTTCCTCGCCGAGGTTTGGTACTGGAACGCGACGTACTGGTAATTGGCTCGGCCTGCATGCTTCCCTCACTTTACCTGGATCCCCCGCTGACGGACCGAAATCTGCCTGAAAAGGGTGTACCAACTCCTCCGTGCCTTTTCGGCGCGAATGATCGCCGGCAACGAAGCCGTCTTCATGCGGGCACAAGAGCATGCCATCTCCATTCTGGAGCTAGAAAGGGCATTTGGGCTGGACATTGAGCTCGGCGTGCAGCGATATGTCCTCGACAACATGCCCTGGCTGGTGCCGTACCTGGCCAAGATCTACTACTCCCACATCAGCTTGGGCATCATGTTCATCATCTACTGCTACACGTTTCTGCCGCCCGGCACGTTTCAGAGGATCCGACGGACCATCGCCATGGACAACGTCATTGCCTTTTTCATCGTGACCACGTATCGCTGCATGCCGCCGCGCCTGCTGCCGGCCGAGTACGGATTCGAGGACGTGCTTCAGGGAAAGAAGGGAGGCGGCAACGCGTGGACTCACAACAGGTTTCAGTTGACCATCGCCGCGATGCCGAGCCTTCACTGCGGAACGGCCTTGTTCCTGGCCTGGTCGATTTGTCGCTTCTCGCCTCACCGTCCTCTCCGGCTCGTCGCGCCGCTGTGGCCCATGGCCATGTTCTTCACCATCGTTGCCACGGCGAACCATTTCATCCTCGACGCCGTGGTAGGCGCCGTGGTTGTCGTCATTGGATGGAGGTTCAACCAGGCCGTTCTTGTTATGTTGCCACTGCAGAACTGGGTGCTCGAGAAGCTGGGTCTCAAAGTCCCGGATGAGGAGAAAACCTCGGCAGTCATGCCCAAAGGGTGGGCATAAGCATAGCGCCGGAGGATGTCGGGGAAGGAATAGCGACCATTGATCGTCGATGATTCGATAATCGACTAAGTAATGCTACTGTAATAATCCGGTTTTGCCGATTCCTTGGCCGTTCATAGCCGAGTCCTCTCGGAGGCGGCCTGTGATCCATGGAGCCTCGCGAAACCCTGCGTCTCAACCCAACAGAGCCTTCTTCACAATGTCCACTTCCTCCGCCGTTCCGCAGATCAAGCCAGCTCTCCCGTCACAGTCCACCGATGCCTTGTCGAGGAGGGGTCTGCCGTCCGCGGGGTCGATGGCCTTGCCTCCCGAGCACTCCACGATCAGAGCGATCGGGTAAAGCTCGTACAGGAACCTCAGCTTGGGAAGAGTACCGGGCGAGACAGGCGAGACGTAGACGCCGTGCCCTTTGACTAGCGCATGTACAATATCGGGAACGAGGCCGCCGCAGTACCGCAGGGTGTACTTCTCCCGAATGAAGCGCGTGATGAGCGCATTGTACTTTTCGTCATCCGCCGCGTGACGGAGGTTCGCGGGCGCAAAGTAGCGCGTCTTGAAAGGCGCGTTGGCAAACTCGACGGAGGCCCGGATGATTTCGCAGTCCTCGACCCCGTTCGGGCCGAACCCGATCTCGAAACACGCCGAGTCGGCGCCGGGGATCCGCAGCGCCACGAAGGCCGTAGTCCGGGGTCCGATCACGCCCATGATGGCGGCGATCTGCTTCTCCGCCGGCGACTGGCCCACGGCCGTCCTCCCGTCCCAGATGCCGACGATGGTCCCGACCGTCCAGTTCGGCGCGATGATGGAGCTGCCGTCCAGGGGGTCGAAGGCGACGGTGTACTCCTCCGAGGTTGCAGGGGTGCCCGCCGTTTCGCCCTCTGGTCTCGCCGGCTTTTCCACGGGGTCCTCCTCGCTGCTGGCCGTGAAAACCGACGGGCATCTCGCAATGGCCTCCCGCATGACATTCTCGGACAGGACGTCGACGTTTAGCTGGTCGTCCCCGAAGGCGTTGGCGGTTCCGGCCAGGGAGACGTGTTGGGAGGCGTGCAGCGTCTTGGCGATGCCGGTGATGGCGTCGAGAACTGCCGGGATCACATCCTCGCGGAGCGACGAGCGATCATCCTGGGGGATAACTCTTTTTAACTGCTCTACGAGAGCTGCGGATGCTGGCATGGTGTTCAATGAAGTTGGCCGAAAGCGTTGAGTCGGGAGGGATTGAGCTATTTTAGGGTTAAGAAAGTTGAGAGAATTTCCGAGCGGACGCCATCCGAGTGGCTCCCACGCGTTTTAACTGGATTGTCCCTTGCTCCACCCGTCAAGACACTGCCGTCTTTGGCTGTTTCGAACTCTATCCGAGCGTTGTTCCATGATACTTGCAGCAGCGTATTCCCGGGAAGTTTCTCATCGCACCAGCTCGTTCCTGTACTTTGCTCTCATATACACTCATCGATTGTTCTCACTTGGTCCTGGAGATTGACTTCGATCTCGACTTATTCGCGTGTCTTGTGGCGAAGACCGGATTGGATGTGGAAAACAGCTCTTATCGCTACTCCGTCTCTGATTCGCCCAGTCGTCGTGCGCATGCAGAGAGGATTGGTCCATTACATCTGTGAGCTTTCCTCGCCATCATTCCGTCCCTGACGTTTGAACCCGTCGTAAGGGCGTCTCTCTTCAAACACCCGGATGCTATCGTCAAAGTTGATTTTGCCGGCCTTTCTCGCTTTCAGGATCTTCCTCCGCACTCTCATCACGTCGTACTCCGTGTTTCTCGTCAACCACCACGTCCAAAGGTTGGCCAGAAAAGACGCAACCGTAGTCGCCGCTGCGATGGCAAAGCTGGTCTTGCAACCGTTGTACGCAAACTTTGACTGGAACAGTTGCGGCCCAATAAGGCCGCCCAGTTGAGCTATGCCAGATTGCAGACCGAGGATAAAGGCGGTACACGTAGACCCCGACAATGTGGCGGATCTCCAGGCCTAGAACGGAATAAAGTATGACTGATAGAACAAAGTGTCTAATATGCACGAAATGTAGATGCTGTAGCGGCCGGTAATTGTAAAGAATAGCACGAAGCACACCATCATCCCAGACATAAGAATCCTTGTATTATTGTTAGTGGAAGTCTGCAAAGTAGCAACCGGCATAGAACCTACATGATGTACGCTGGTCGTACGACGTATGCTCTTGACATGAACCGCGCCGAGAAGATCAGACCGACAATGGCTGCGAATGCAGGCGACATGTTAAGCAACTGGTTTCTCGGCAACCCCACGAAGCCGAGATTCGTCACGATAGTCGGCAGATACTTCGCGAGGAAGCGACTGCTTCGAGGAGACTTTGGGTAATCGGGTAAGAGCCAGGACACGACGCCGGAGAAGACGATCGTCGCCAGGCCCTCGAGGAGGTACACCCACCTCCAGGAACTGAGGCCGCGGACCCCGTTCAGGTAGCTGATGCCGTAACACAACAGGGAGCCGACGATGCCGGCGAGCTTAGACCATGCGAAGAACCAGGTCACTGGCTTGCCGATTTCATCGGTGCGGTACCAGCTTGATAGCTGGGCCATGAGACCTGGAAACATGCCGGCCACTAACATTCTGGTGAGAAGCAGAGTCAGCTGGTGCATCATGGGCGCGGGTGTCAAAGCAGTAGCCTTGGTGCGTAAACACATACCCGAGCAAAAACCGCATGGCGTAGAGTTGATGTCGGGTTTGCGCTGCGGCTTGGCAGGCGGTGATAACCCCCCAGTTGAGGAAAATGCGGGATTGCCACAAATGGGGGCTCATACGCTTCAATAATAGGTTGCTAAGCGCTTCAAAGATGATGTAGGCGATCGGGCACCACGTTAGCTTACGGAACCGACTAGTGTCCCCCGGCAATTGTGATACTCTACTCACGCCGTAGATAGACCAAACCCAGTTGTATTGGTCCGAGGTCATGTTGAGCTCCTTCATGATGTTACGCGGCACTCCCACCTGCAGGACTCTTATATTCGCCGCATTGGTTTGGTCAATCTCGACGATGTATTAGCTCTCGTCCTTATGGATGTACTCCCGTGTCACTTTCTTGTTTGATCATGTACATGATTCCGATGAGAACCAGGAAGGCTTTATCGACCTTGTTGATGGCGGACCTCTCCTCTTCGGCCGAGAATGTAGAAAGAAACGCCGCTCTGGCTCCCGGATCGTCCCGGAGGTTGTCTACATTGGCCCTTGCGACTGCTGCGTTGGTTTGTAGTTTCCGACTCGTGGCGGTTGCATCGTGGTCAACTTGGACCTCGTTCGGCTGGATTAGGGCACTCATGGCGCCGTCGGTTTTCTGATTCTTTCTTTAACAGTCAGTTTCAACATTTCTAAGTGACCATACAAATCCATTCTTTTGGTCGGCTTAATAGTCTTATTGAAGGGGAGTCATGCCGGGACCGGTTCTCAAACCGGTCAGCCTCAATCTCATATCTGCATCATCCGCTCAACGGCACTTTATCAACAACCCGGCTCCTGAGTCGGCCAAAACCCTCACTCGTCAGTACGGAGTCCTCACGTAAAAAGTCTTGGGGATGTACTCTCTCAGCGGCCAATTCTCGTTTCCCGGTTCCGATGCGGACTTCTGCCGCCTTCTCGACGGCGCCTGGACATTCCGCAGCAGCACGCGCCTCTGGGATTATGCCGCAGGATCACTGCACGCAAGATACGGGTGGCATGACGCCAAACTAGGAGATCATAATATATGAAGTCACTTTTCCCTGATGGCTCTTATCGGGGTCTGTGGTAGTACATCCTTTTGCCATCTTTGGGAGTCCGATCAGAACTTCTTCATCAGTTGTAGCGCTCTCTGAATCTGATTTGCATCGCCCACCATGTCTTCGGCGAACCAGAACGGCGTCATAGACCCAAAGACGAAGAAGCAGATTCTTCCCAATGCCTTCAACATGTTCACTGTCGGACACCTGTCCTTCGGTCAATGGAGAAATCCCAAAGACAGAGCGAAAGACAAGCGTCGGGACCTCACGTACTGGACCGATCTTGCCAAGTTACTTGACAAAGGTGGTTTCGTTGGCCTCTTTCTGGCAGATACTTTCGGGCCATATGACACGACAGTCTTGCAGTTTCGCTCCTGCAAGAATATGAAATACCCCTAATTTATATATCATTTCAGATACAAAGGCAGTGCAGAGCCGTCAGTACGAACGGGCGCTCAGTGGCCGATGACTGATCCCGTTATTGTAAGTCTCCGCGCGAACACAATGTCGTGCCCGACGCCATTGAACTGAATCAGCTAACATTGCGCCAGCCTGTTTCAGCGATGGCTGCTATGATTAAGAACTTGGGCTTTGCCATCACAACATCGACATCGTATGAGCAAGGCTATGTTGTTGCCAAGCGATTCAGTACCCTCGACCACTTGACCAAGGGTCGTTTTGGATGGAACACTGTGGCGAGCTGGAAGGAATCAGCCTCCAAGGCGGTATGTGAGCCACTTGATGGCGATATCTTCTCCCATTCTAAGATGAATCAAAAGGTCGGCTTGCCGTTGGTTGAGCACGGCACTCGCTACGCTAACGCGGACGAGTATTTGCGTCTTCTATGTAAGTAAGTACTGTGCACTTCAGTCTATTCGAATGTACTTGCTAACAGACATTGAGACTTTGGGAAGGTTCCTGGTCGGACACGGCCTTCCTATAGAAGATGCCGAGAAAGGAATTTACTCTGACTATTGCAAGATACGCCTGATCCACCACCACGGCCTGTTCCACGTCGATGCACCCTTTCTGACTGACCCGTCTCCCCAACGCACCCCTGTGCTATTCCAGGCTGGCACATCTCCGTAAGTTCGGTTCCTATCTAGCACTTGTAAACCTACAGCTTATCAAGGTTCCAAGCGCGGGCATCAAATTCACCTCGACCCATGCAGAGGGAATCTTCGTAGCCGGTCTCTCGCCGCATGTTGTGGCACCGAGAGTGTAACAACCAGTTCCATTTAAGCTTGATCACAGTGACAACCATGTGCGAACTAGGGTTCTTCACTAAACAACTACAGATGAGTATTGGAGCCGGGCAAAATACCGCGAGTCAGGACGGACAGAAGCGGGGGGGGCAAACTCGAGTCGTAGCGCAGGGCTATAATTCATTGAACGACACGTCATTTATCATCTCTCCGGACTTGACCTATCATTCATGGCTACGATTGGTATCTGCGCTCGCGGTGCGGCCCGGCTGGACTTTGCAGCCAGGGGTTATCCAATGATTCTTTGAGAGCTAAATAATTCGACCCGTTGATATGCACAATGTCGTCTTCGTCATGACGTCAAGTGACGGACTTTGGCTCCGCCAACACTACGGCGTAATTGCCGCGGAAGAAGATTATCCCCAATGATGGCGTAATGTCATTCGCAATCTCGAGACCTGATGTGACCGTGGGGCCGGCTTTTCCCTCCCCTTTAAAGCGAAAGAAAACAAACAGGCTCACACTCTGATGACAAGCCAAATCGTTTAGATTCCCATGGTGGTGTGCTGTGGGGAATGGCCAAGCCTTCAACGGATGCCGAACATAGAGCCGTTAAGAAAACAATGACAGGTGACCATCAACCTGGTTGCGCCAAGATAACGATGGACTCCACGCTTCCCCGCATCATCTCCGCTTCGGAGCACCTATAGTCAATATTACCACAGCATCTCATGCTCATCAGGCCTTCGTTCCCACTTTGATCTGGTTAGCAATAACTTATCCCCCTCATATCCACGGCCCAGGACCACGGCGAACACCCCAGTAGTAGCCTAGCTTGCGGGGGAGAAAGACCTAGAGTCCTTGGAGACCCCACTGCGATCGAGGAAAGGGCCGATTTAGGACCCGAGCAGTGTAGCTTGGCATTCATGTTCCCCAGACACAAATCATGTTTGTGGGCGTGGTCTCTCGTGATGGACATGCCGATATGGGGCATAGGAAAAGTCCGGGGGTCCCCGCATCAGTTCCATTGGGCTGATGACCCGAATAAATCCCGAGGTTGCAAGCCGCGACGACTACCCTGCCCCTGTCGGCAACGATTCGTCATCATATCACTGATGAGATCGACGGGGGCTTCACTTGATAGGGATTCTGCAAAATTCTCTACGCACGATATTTCAGTGCTCTAATGGGCTCACAAAAAGCAATGCCAGTAGTCCAACCATAGTAATAGAATCGAGCGTGTGATTGTGAATCGTAACAAGGCTCGGTGCTTTATCAATGTTACTTCGGTTGATCTGACGGGTGACAGATGAAGTCTTCAACTATCATGTCTGTCGGCAATCTACTGACCGTATGAGCTCCGAGTCCCGATCTGGATCTCCGGCTCAACAAGGCTGTCACGCCACCTCGCTCGGGATCCCACCAGACCCCATACCGATGATTGCGACCGAATCAAGGCCACTGGATAGTTTGCCAAGAACAGATATATGCAAGTTCTCTTGCTATTTACGCTTCTCACAGGCCGAGGTAGCGTTCGTTGCCGAGGCGAAGACCAAAGACCATGGCAGGTCAACCGTCGTGCCTGTCGGCGGCTGCTCATAAATAGCTCAGGTCTTTCCAGCCTACCCAGAGTGTCTTGAAACCCTCAGCCAATAGTTATACCAAACCTCCAAACTTGGAGATCCGTCAGCAGTCATTGGCCTATCATGAAGTTCCAACTGACAAACTTGGCCTTGGCCATCATCCCCTTGGGAGCAAGCTGCACTTCCCTCCCCCGGGCAAACCCTCGGCAACCCCTCGCTCACCGAGATGAGACACTTCCCATCTATAAGAACTCCTCATACTGCGTGGACGACCGCGTAGAGGACCTCCTACAACGCATGACCATCGAGGAGAAAGCCGGCCAGCTCTTCCAGAGCATGCTCCAGCCGGGTCCCAATGGCACTCTCGACCCCGGCGACGCGACGGGCAGCCGCAACAGCACTGACAACTTGATTGGCGAGAAGTACATGACGCACTTCAACCTGGCTGGTGACATCGTCGACGCGAAGCAGGTCGCCGAGTTCGTCAACCGCGTCCAGCAGCGGGCCGCGGAGACCCGTCTCGGCATCCCAGTCACCCTGTCGACGGACCCGCGCCACAGCTTCACAGAGAACATAGGTACCGGCTTCCGGGCCGGGGTCTTCTCTCAGTGGCCCGAGTCCTTGGGTCTCGCCGCGCTGCGAGACCCGTACCTGGTGAGGCAGTTTGCCGAGGTCGCCCGCGAAGAGTACATCGCCGTCGGCATCCGGTCCGCGCTCCACCCGCAAGTCGACCTCGCAACTGAGCCTCGGTGGGCGCGCCTGGGTAACACCTGGGGCGAGGACGCCAACCTCACGAGCGAGCTCCTCGTCGAGTATATCAAGGGCTTCCAGGGCGAAGGCAAGGAGCTGGGGCCTTATAGTGTGACGACGGTCACTAAGCACTTCCCCGGCGCCGGCCCCATGGAGAACGGCGAAGACTCCCACTTCACCTATGGGAAGAATCAGACGTACCCCGGGAACAACTTTGAGTACCACCTCATCCCCTTCAAAGCCGCGATCGCAGCGGGCGCGAGGCAGATGATGCCGTATTACTCGCGCCCGATCGGCACCGAGTACGACCCCGTCGGCTTCTCTTTCAACAAGCAGATCGTCACCGGTCTCCTAAGGGAAGAACTCGGCTTCCAAGGAATCGTGGTGTCAGACTGGGGCCTGATCACGGATACGGTGATTAGCGGACAGGACATGCCGGCCCGCGCGTGGGGCGTAGAGAACTTGACGGAGCTCCAACGCGCCGCCCGGATCCTCGACGCCGGTGTAGACCAGTTCGGCGGCGAGCAGCGCGTCGAGCTTGTCGTCCAGCTTGTGAAAGAGGGCAACGTCACCGAGGATCGCATCGACGTTTCCGTTAGACGCCTCCTCCGCGAGAAGTTCCTCCTCGGCCTCTTCGATAACCCCTTCGTCGACCCCGAGGCCGCGGCCAGAATCGTCGGAAACGACTACTTCGCCCGTCTTGGCAACGACGCCCAGCGCAGGGCCTACACGCTTCTCACGAACAAGGACGGCATTCTGCCCCTGAAGCATCTGGGCGCCGAGACCAAGTTCTACATCGAGGGCTTCAACGCCACCTTCCTCGAAGCTCGCAACTACACCGTCGTCGAGACGCCCGAAGAGGCAGACTATGCGCTTCTGCGTCTCCAGGCGCCGTACGAGCCCCGCCCCGGCGGCTTCGAGGCCGCGTACCACGCCGGCTCCCTCGAGTTCTCGGACGAGGAGAAGGCGCGCCAGGCGGCCATCTACGCGGCAGTGCCCACCATTGTCGACGTGATCCTCGACCGCCCCGCGGCCATACCCGAGGTGGTCGACGCCGCCGCCGCCGTTTTTGGCAGCTTCGGCAGCGGGTCCGAGGCGTTCCTGGACGTGCTCTTTGGCATCGCGGCCCCAGAGGGGCAATTGCCTTTCGACCTGCCGCGGTCGCAGCAGGCCGTGGAGGATGCGAAGGAGGACGTGCCTTTCGACACGGAAGACCCGGTGTTTAGGTTTGGCCACGGCTTGAGATATGCCGGAAAATGCGCCGCGTGACCTGGCGGGGTGCTGGGTTGACGAAGATATGAAACGGCAATTATGTTGGAATTACCGAGGACAAGTTGTAACGTGTCATGCCAACAGACGATGATGCTTTGTTTTTGCAATTTAGAACCGATTAATCTAGGCCTAGGGTCGCCTGATCGATAATACTAGTAATGGGAAACACAGTGCATAATACAATAATCCCTCTTCCAAGCTCAACTCGTGGCCTCGCCATGGTGAAAGTTTCTCCCCTGGGCCATCACTTCATTGGCCGGGATGCCGACTAGATACTCACTAGGCGGTCTTGGTGGTGTAAATCCCGGTGATGGTGAAATCACCTCTCGATAGATCCCTGCGGGAAATATAGTTTGCCTGTCACTTTGACATCATGCGTCAGGCGCAACGACTAATACTTAATACCCGCGCTCCTATGGCCCTTCGAACTCATACGAGACCAAGAGGAGTATCTTTTAATCTAGCATTATCTAGCACATGAAAGAAACAATGTCATCGGCAATTGTGACAGGAGCGACTGGTAAGTATAAAATCTCCAACGGCCTCCGCCCATAAGCCGGACAACGCCTCTCATGCGGCCGGCTCGGGCCAATATCTGACTCAGCTGTCGACTGACCCGGACAGGCATTCTTGGAAGGGAAATCGTCGACCGGCTCGCTCAGAACCCGGAACAATGGAAGACGACATATGCCATATCGCGCAGCAAGAGGGACCAGTACCCAGCCAACGTCAAGCACGGCTTCGTCGACCTCACTCGATCCCCCAATGAGATAGCCAAGGACCTGGAAGGCGTCGAGGCGGAGTATGTCTTCTTCGCCGCATACCTGCAGAAAGACTCGGAGAAGGAGAATTGGGATGCCAATGGTATGCCTCGCTGGAGAACAACCCGTTGACCAACAACACCCCGGGGGCCGTTCTGACAGTTGACAGGCGACATGCTCCAAAACTTCCTCGCGGCTCTCGAGAAGACCGGCGCCGCGGACAAGATCAAGCGCATCCTGCTCATCACCGGCGCCAAGCAGTACGGCGTGCACCGCGGCGTCCCCAGCAACCCGATGGAGGACTCGGAACCCTGGCACCGCGAGGACCCGCCCCTCCCGCCCATCTTCTACAACCGGCAGCAGGCCATCCTCCGCGCCTTTTGCGAGAGACACCCCGACGTCTCGTGGACGGTGACGTATCCGAACGACGTCATCGGCTCCGCAAAGGACAACTACATGAGCCTCGCCACGACGCTCGGCATCTACGCCGCCATCACCAAGGAGCTCGGGAGGGACCTCGAGTTCCCCGGCTCCGAGACCCTCTACACAAAGTTCGACTGCTTCACGTCGGCGAGGCTGCACGCCGAGTTCTGCGAGTGGGCCGTGAGGGAGCCCAGGGCGGCCAACGAGGCCTTCCACGTCGTCAACGGCGACGTCGAGAGCTGGCAGAACATGTGGCCGAAGCTGGCCCGCCGGTTCGGGCTGAGGATCAAGCCCGACCAGTTCGCCGCCAAGTCCGAGCTGGCCGACTCCACCGAGCTGATCGAGAAGCCTCCCGTCGGCTTCCTTGCTGAGAAATCCGGCCTGGTGCGCAAGGTCGAGCCGAGCAGGCCGGAAGAGAGGATCGACCTGGTCAAGTGGAGCCAGAAGGAGGTCGTCAAGAAGGCCTGGGACCGGCTCGCCCTGCGCGAGGGGCTCGAGAGGGATGCCTTTGACAAGGCCACTTGGTCTTACCTCGGCTTCGTCCTGGGTCGCAACTTTGACCTGGTCATTAGCATGAGCAAGGCGCGGGAGATGGGCTGGACAGGCTACGCAGACACCTGGCAGTCTTTACAAGACTTCTTCGGGCAGCTGGAGACGGAGAAGATCTTGCCCAGGACTCACGGGTACGCCCGTTAGTATGTGGGATGAAGGAGTATGATGGGCATCTTGGTTCTTTGGACAATGGAACAAGAATACGGGAGGAGAGAAAAAAGACAAAAACAAAAAAGGGACTCCCTGATGTAGTTACGTCGAATCGAGTCTGCCATCAACGTCCTTCGCAGCCTTGATGCTCCGCTCCAAGACCCCCCTCTCGTGTCCCGACAACTCCTGCGCCCCCGCCCCGACCATGCAGCTCATGTCCTTCTTCTTATCTACCTTGGCCCATTCCTGGTCAATCATCCAGTGCGTCGGCACCTCGAAGTCTGCCGGGTCGCCCGTCTTGCTCATCTCCAGCCCGCCGTTGTACCATAGCAGGCCGTCCGTCTCATCCACGTGCGCTATCGCCAAGCTGCACACCTGCATCCTGCCCGCCTCCTCGCTCTCGACCGGCTTCTGCCAACCGACCACGCCGCCGTAGTGCCTCGAGAAGGAGTACGCCGACCCCGTCGCCTCGAGCCCGATCCACCACGTCTCCTTGTCGCCGTAGGTGATCCTGTACGTCCACGCGTTCCGGACCTCGTAGGTGTTTTGCCAGCAGATATGCAGCAGGCCCATCAGCACGTCCAGGCGGCCCTTGTTGAGCACGACGACGCCCGAGTCCCCTTCCTCGGCGTACTTCTCAGTCCACATCAGAGACTTCTGCATCTCCCCGCTCGGGTGCTTGAACGTCTCGTGGTACCACAGGTCCCTTTCCGGGAACTGGTCCTTCCAGAGAAGCCTGTCGTGGAAGAGCAGCGCCCCGTTTCTCTGGTAGGCCTGTTGCTGCAGCAGCTTTTCCGGAGGCTGCAGAAGGACGACATCGGCGTCCAGCAGGATGACCTCCTCGTACCGGCTGCCCAGCGCGGCGAACGGTTTGATCGCCCACCCGTCTTCCATCAGCCGCAACGTGGTGTCGTTGAAAACTGTCAAGACGTCCAAGAACTCTACATGACCATTGTCGCCCACGGCGGCGGCCTTGATAATCGTGTTACGGTCCTCCATGGGGAGGTCCTCGTCGCCGGCGTACGCAATCTGGATCGGCAGCGTCGTCCGATGAACGCGCGTCAAGGACGCCACCAAATGGCACGCCAAACGCAACGTGCTGCGCCCCACGGGGATGACGATGCCCGCATTCAGGCTCGTGTACTCCGTTGCGGTCTTCTCGCCGTGCGCGCCATCGCCGACGCGCGGCTGCCGTGCCGGGTGCCACGCGGGTGTGCCGGGGCTTTGGAAGCTTCGCCTGAGGTCGGCCAGCGGCGTCCGAGTCTGCGCGTTCCTCGGCGGCGATTGCAGGTAAGGAAACAGAGACGCGGCGACCCGTTCGATCGAGGCGTCGAGGAACCGCCTCTCGGCGCCCACGACCCGCAGTTTGCCGTCGCCATCCTTCTCCTCGAGCGCCTCGATCCAGGACCTCAGCACCTTTGTCCGCTCGCCGAGCTCGCCAAAGACTTTCTTGTAAGGGGGGCCGACGGGGTAGTCGACGAAGTACTGGGCGGTCGCGTTGATTGCTTCGAGATTGGGACCGGGCGTCTCGGAGGCTCGGAAGCCAAAAGTCGCCGACGTGAGGGGCGTGATGTGGCCGTCGAAGCGGAAGAAGTAGACGATGGTGAGGGCGATGATGGCGGCGGCCGCGACCACGGACGTCGACTGCACGCCGGATCGCGGCGAGAGCGAGAGGCGAGACATCCTCGGCTACGTTGTCTTTCGTGATGAGCTGTTGACTTGATTCTCCAGCTGGAAGAGCAAGACGCTCGCAAGGTGTTGGAACATTGCTTTCGACGTCGCCCGAGCTGGGCGGGCAGCACCTTTAAAGAATCATGGCTCTCTCCCACTACGAAGAAATGCTATTTTGGGACATCCAATCCCATCTCTCCCTAGCTAAAGCTAATTACACCTGGGCCAACTCCTCGCGCGATAACGACTAATTTGCCTAGGCGTTGCCACTTGGGTAGTGCGGCTTCCGTGGCCCCGGGGGCCTCTCTGCGCACCTCGCCGTGTCAGGCCGATCCTTATCTCGTTAGCTTGGCTGCGCCAGCCGTTTCAGGGTCCCGGCCCGTCGGTTTCCCTGGCGTCGTTTTTACATCGTGACGAGTCTGACAGCGGCGGAGTCCGGGGTATCCCGAAGTGCCGGGTAAAGATGTGTCTTGGATGTAGCGTTGATCCGCAGCTTCAACAAGCCTTCCCCGCATTTGAAAGCTTTTGATCTTCATCTACAAGTTACAGCATGATGTCATTGCATTTGTATCAGAGATTGAATACTTCGTACTCATCTGTTGGTTGTGGGAGCATGTATGCTGTTGGATGGTCTGGTTTCATGCTTTACCTCTCATCTATCTCCAACAACAACTTGACTGCCTGGTTAACAACCACTCGGCCAAGCCAATAGTATTTTCATAAGAGTAAATAAACCACCAACACGATTTACCAGCTGTGCCGCCCTCCGAACCGAGCAATGAACTTACCAACCTCGCCATCTCGCTTCCCCTCCACAATCTCAAGTATACCCTGCGCACTCGTCTCTGAGCTGTCTGCACCGTTATCAATTCTGTTTTGCCTATCGCTTTCTCCTGACAGGTTGGTCACGACATAGCCAGGACAGTACGCCCACACTTTGGCACCCCAGCTCTTGAAGTCATACGCCATATGCACCGTGGCCATATTAAGGGCTGCTTTGGAGATGCGATAAGCCTCAGCGGGGGTCTTGTAATACGGCGACTCAGGGTCTGCGCGGTAAGAAATCGACCCCAGCTCGCTCGAGACATTAATAATGCGCGGATCCTTGGACTTCTTGAGCAATGGAGCTAGTGCTTCGGTGAGGATGAGAGCGCTGGCAGCGTTGGTGTTGAATGTATCGACCAGCTGTGACCGGCGGTCCTTGGGTTGCCTAATGGCAATACCAGCATTGTTGACAAGCACGTCAAGCACGCCAAACTCGGTGGTAATGCTTTCAACGGCAGCCTTGATGGAGTCGTCGCTAGTGATGTCCAGTTGGAGCAGACTCACTGTGCCGGCTGGGTTGCGGGCGCGGACTTCTTCTACCGCCTTGATCCCCCGCTCTTGGCTCCGAGAACCGACAATAACGTGGTTTTCCGGAGATGCAGAGGCAAGAGCTATGCTGGTATCGAACCCAATCCCTTGGTTGGCACCTAGAGTATGTCAGTTGTACGTTTTTAAACTTATGTTGTGGCTGGGCAGACGCAGGTCTATCAAAGGGGTGGTGCTATATAAACAACTCACCAGTGATGAGGATGATCTTTTTGCTAGACATGTTGAACTAGAAGCTGCACGTGCTGTGATATGTGAAGAAGGCTTTACGGTGATGAAGACAGCCGCCACATGCGCAACATTGATTGAGCACGTCAGAATTTATACGTCAGTGGACTTCGAACACCTTAAAGTTTAATATGTGTGGGCGGACTCTGCTTGTTCCAGTCCTTACGCTCTGACTGTTCGACGGACGGACTTGTCAGGCAAGAATCCGGACTCCGTGGTTAAATCCTGTGCTTAACTCCGTGTGGATATGTCACCATTCTTTGCTGCTTCGTAGTATTACATAACAGCTCTGTAACAGTAATACTAGGTGCGATCGCCATATGGTTCACGACAGGCACATACCTCGCTTCTTACGGGTATTCCTACCCGGCGTCGTCTCATAATACGGAAGTTCTGATATCAACTACTTGACATTCTTTCTAGTAGACGATGCGGATCATCGCACATGTGGCGAAATGGATGTTTACTAATACTGTGCTTCATTCTAGTCCAACCTCAAGAACGTTTTAAGGCAGCGTGACAATTGGCGACAACCTACAGACAACACACTGGGGAATGACGTGTTTGGCTTTGCTAGAACGCTTTCGGATTTAGGAATTAGTGCAGATAAGCATTACTTGTCTCCTGTTGGTCTTCACACTGTGGCAATCGACATACCATGGCATCTGGAGACTCTTAATCTTCATCTACAGAGTTACAGCATAATATTATTACATTTATATTAGTAATTAAAGGCTTCGTAGCTATTCGCTGTTTGTAAGAGCATGAGTGTTAGATGGTCTAGTTTGATGCTTTACCTCAGTCATCTCCAACAACAACTTGACCACCTAACTAGTTGACAACAACTTGTAATTTTGGTTTGATGATACGGGATTGCTAGCTACCAAGTCTCATTGTGCCCGCTGCTGATCACTGATCTGCATGATTGACAGCGCTAACAAAAGCTTAGCTGGGCGTTATTGGCCCACTGGACATGGACCCATCGTGCTGTCGACATAGCCCATCACGACTTCTGCCCATTTTATCCCAAAATCGTGATCGGCCTCCGTCCTCAAGCGGAACTTGGAAGACTCCTCATTCCGCGCCGGCATCCTTTTCTGGGCAACGTCATGGATAGGGGTGCCTCGGAACTACTGTCAGAACTCTCTGAGGCAACACTTGCGCCAAGGATTGCCGGAGGCTCCGAGTATCTCTCAGACGCGAATGACTTGATTGGGGCGGGTGGCCGGCGTAAAATACAACAACAACAACAACATAGGACCGTTCCCAAGTCAGTTCAGGCATAAACATTCAAACTTCTAGGGTGGCCTCAAGACTCTCTTCCACAAGGTCCCGATGTTCGGAAAACACATTTGGCTCCGATAGAGCGGACGACAGTTCACTCTAAGGGGTCATTTAATTCATCCGGGCTGAGAGGATGCGCGACGGCTCTGCTCAACGCCCTCAACAGCAGCAGGGTGTTCATGCTTGCATGCGGGTGTCGGGGATGTCAGGTGATGCGAGATGCAACACTAATGGAAATGTTCAGCGGAAAGAGGGGATTTGGGCTAGAACGGGTATTGAACCTCTCTATAGCTAGGCTTGCGAGGTAGGCAATAAGAGTGCAAACAGACACAACTTCCTGGTACTATATACGCCGTTAGTTAATTGGAGGCTTCGCCTACGTCTGCGCCTGTGGCTGCGGGTAAGGCCGAGGCTGCTTTTCTCTCCCGCCTCTTCCTTAGACACCTCCTCACACAGCAACAATATACACAGAGCGCAATAAAGGAAGTGCAGAGGATAGGTAGCCCGATCATAAAGAAACGTATCCACTCCTCACTAAACCACTGGACGCCTGACTCCTTGGGCTGGTCATATTTGTGAGCCGGGATCACCTCGCCGGGTGTCCATTCTGGTACCCGCATTGAGCTGGTAAGCGTGGGCAGTTGCGGTGTCAATGTGGCCGTGTCGGTTTTTTCCCAGGTTATAAGCCAGGCCTGGTGCAATGTTTGGGTAGGATTGACGGTTTCCCTGGTGTCCGTCATTCCACAAGGATTCGGGACCAGGGAATAAATAGGGTGGTCCTGATAATAATAATCGAGCCCAAAGCCACTAGGTTGGCAGTCAGCGGTTTCGCTCACAGAATAGGTACGGCCTTACAGCCGCCCCGATTCGGAACAGAAGCACAACGGACCTTTGGCAGCAGTAAGCTGTTGAAAAAGAGTAAACTATATCTTGCTGCATCCTGCGGTAGATCCATGCCTCGGGGCAAACTCCCGGCCTGAACCCGGGGCGACTTCCAGGCTCCAAGTTGCCCCATCCGGACGGGTAACATGATGACGCAGGGGCATAGTACACGAAGGGTATCTTTCTCAACGTAGTGGTTTCCCACTGGGTTTCGCAGTCTGGCGGCGGTACGAACGGCGTTGTGATTGAAAGCGCGGCCGCGGTGGTCATTGTAGTTGCAGTGACAGCGACGGAGTTCCGAGGGTTGTGAGACATGATCACTTGTGTGTGAAAGTATAATTATCGCAAATGAGAGATTGGTCCGTATGGGTCCGGACTGAGGATTTGGGAGTGCGAAATGTTCTCGGGGCCCCTTTTTATGAACACGATCCCGTACATCAGCTTTCTCAAAGTCGCGCGCCAAGGCGGCACAGCAAAAGCGAGAGAGACTGGATTGGCGAGGGGACCATGGGGGTGGGGAGGCATTGCATATTGCGACAAGAGGTTTGCATATACGGATGTGACAACCAACGGTCTCTCATTTAGGGAAACCAACCAGCCAGCTTCCGACCTTTCGATTCCAACGGCCCCTCGTCGCCGTACTCCACATGGAACGGTCAAGGCGCCGCTGTTGGAGCCAGCATTCTACCCAAGATTAATCGGTATTTCAAAGAGCCAGCCCCTTCCGCGTCTACCTCCAGGACGATGATGAGATTGTTCAGCGTCGGTACGTCGGAACTAGTTAGAAAAGTAAGCCTACTCGGCCAAGGCAAGTCACATCCAAGGAAGCCATTTCGAGGTACAGAGGTAGCAAAGCTTACTGGCCAGACATGACAGCGTATCTTTCCGCGGGATTATTCCAAGCGCATTCTAAAGGCAGGAAATTGCGTCTGCAAATCAAAGCGTTATGGTTACTGTTGCAGTATAGGGGATATCCAGTTAGTCGGGCGAGCATTTTGGTACATGGACGAGAATCATATACACAAATGCATGAATATACTCCCTGGAATGGGGGCCCGCATCGAGGCTCGCTTCGGAATGTCAAGATCCCTCGGTTCGCTTATATACTCAGTCCATATGTGTCACTACCTGTAATGACGAGAGTAACGGGGACTTCCTGTTCTGGCGCCTTATACTCCCGCTGGCCCTTTTCCATCCCAGTCAGGTCAAAGCTGATGCGCATGGTGTAAGTGTTCGGGATGTTATTGGTGACGCGCGCAACAAACTTTTTCCCAGTATTGCCAATATCGTAATGGGCCTCTCCCTTGGAGCCAATGGAATTAGCCGTAATTTTCTGAGTGTAATGTGCAAGATTCTGTCAAGACTTTCCGGGGGGGACAGAATCCCAGTCCCAATGGTCCATTTGATTAGAATGGGAGCAGGTGAGTTTGAATTCGTGTGGGGTGAGGTTGACAATGGTAATGTATTGTCTGTTTGTCGTTGCTGTATGTGCAGGATCCATCAAGTACCATCGCATGTACTCTCCCATACGGGTGGGAGCATCATGACTGAACGAACTCTCCTTCGGATCGCAAACTTCTCCAGGGTCCGCCGGATCGTCGTCCTTGTTGGCAAACTCACAAACGTCCTTGGGCACCAGTCGCGGGAGCAAGCAAAGTCGCACATTTTGTGGTCATTGAGGTCTCCACGGGCCTTGCCAGTGGTGCCGGGGTTTTGACCGGGTGGTTTGATCAAAGGGCCCGTTTCGAGGCATCGGCAGGCGTGGAGGGGACAGAAGCCGAAGTTGCATGAATAGGAACAGAGGCCGTCAAGGCGTCCGTCCGTGACCGGTGCCTCTTAGACATGCTGGAGGGTGGAATTCGGAGGTGGTGGGCATGGTAAGCCGCTCCTTCGTCGAAAGCAGTACTCTGAAGGATAGTATCCCAAATTACACGCGAAAGAGCAGAGTCCTGAGTAGTTCTCGCTTCTGTCTCTGGCAGGGTAGCCATCCTGGTGCACTTCGGGAGGCTTCTTACTGGGGAGCCCTACACCTTGGCCAGATTTCGCGGCTTGGGGGAGCAATAAGCCTAAAGGGTAACACATACGCGTGGCTCTCTGTGCCGTGCCGTATCATATAAGATTGCAAGCCAAGCCTCAGTAAGGGCGAAGCATAGGACCATGTGGACGCGGCAGCCTTGGCTAACCACGTATTTCGTCTATTAGTTGTAAAGAAGTAGGATGTGCTCTATAGGCACATAGGTACGCGTGCATGTATAATACATAGGTCCCCTCCGGCCTGCCTAGGTAAGTAGAAGAGGCAGGCTAAGACAGGACTAGACACTAATATCTTAAGTACTAATATACAGTATGTAGATGGCCCTTAATTCATCTTGGATAAGGACACAACTTCTTAATGATAATTTAAGATAAAGATAGACTAATAACTAGGTAGTATACAGAGTATAGTAATAAAAGATCTACTAGGAGCACTGATTAACAGGCTGCTAGGTTAGCTGTAGGCTGTCTATAGTTAGGTTTAAAATTACTACAACCAAAACCTAGCACTCTTGTCTAACAGTTACCATCACCTGCGCGCAAGTGGTCTATCCTGTCTACTAATTAAAGAGTCTCTTATAAAAGACTACATGTTATGTCGCAGTAAGGTAATAATAAATGAAAGATAATTATAGTCTCTCTATTTATTTAGCTTTACTTAAGTCCCCTCCTTTATCACACCTATTATAAGTAGCCTATTCTAAAACAGTAGTAGGCTAATATAGTTTCTTGACTATTCACTGTAGTTATAGCCTGAAATTTATAGCTATTTGACTAACTAGATGTATTTGTTATCTAAATTACTACTTTGAAGTAGGGAAATCTGCCTAATTAATATTAACAGCATCGCCGCCCACTTTGGCCCATGAAGCCAATTGCCTGCCCATTGCCAATTGCCGCACTTTGACAGCAACAGCCTATCTCTGATTCCGTCGGAGAATACAGACTTGAGAAATGACAGCCGTAAGCATGAGTATGGTCCACATCAAGGCCGACTTAGGCCGAGCCTGCACCTCAGTTACCGTCCGTCAAGCTTGGCAATTGCAAATTTGTCGTGCCATGATTCGCCAACAACGCGCTGCGTAGCCCCGTCAGGCTGGCGGTTAAGACCCCTCATTTCCGTCAGCATGGAGCATTCATGATCTTCTCTATCCAGTTCGCACCGCGCGACAAGTCGTGGACGACAGCGTGCTCAGACGCCATTTCATGAAGAAATGCACTGTTCGACCTTTGACAACCTACGATGACCAGCAAAGTCCGACCCAGCGGTCCTGACCGTCTCGAAGACGTCCGCATCGCCGTTATATGCGCGCTGCCCCGCGAATACGACGCCGCCATCTTGATACTCGACGAGAAATGGAAAACGGATGAAAACGCCGATATGCGTACAAGAGGACATGCGCAGAATCATACGATAGGCTGGGTTGGAAACCACATTGTTGTTATTGTCCTCCTCCTCAACATGGGGAAGGTCGGCGCGGCGACTGAAACCGCTCGTCTCAAATACATCTACCCTGGACTCGAGCTGGCCTTCTTGACGGGTATTTGTGGCGGAGTGCCTAGTCCGGGGACTGCCAACGAGATGTTGCTTGGTGATGTGGTCATCAGCAAGAGCATTGTGCAATACGACATTGGTCGTCAGTACCCTGGCAAATTTGATCGGAAAGACACCGTCGAAGACAACCTTGGTCGGCCGAACAAAGACATCCGCACTCTGCTTATTGTTTTGGAGACCCAGTCCGCTTTGAACGAGCTGCAACAACGTGTCAGACAGAATTTGGCACACGTCCAACGGGAGGCCGCCAACACAGGATACCGAACCTCTTACTCGCGGCCCTCAACTGCAGAAGATGTGCTTTTCGAGCCGACTTATTCTCACAGACATCGTGCTCAGCCACAATGCGGCTGCAGTAATTTATTCGTCTGTGATGAAGCGATTAGTGCGTCATGCGAGGAGCTACAGTGCGAAGCGAAGCATCGAGTCTCGAGGAGACGCCTCGCAACCACGAGAGGAAGTCAAGCAGAAGCTGGAAAAAGCATCACCGCACCAGAAACCCGGATTCATATCGGACGTGTCGGCTCAGGTGATACAGTAATGAAATCTGGCGAACACCGAGACAACGTTGCCAAAGCCCACGGCCTCATCGCCTTCGAGATGGAGGGAGCAGGCGTCTGGGACGAGATTCCATGCATCGTAGTCAAGGGAGTATGTGACTACGCCGACAGTCACAAGAACAAGAATTGGCAAGACTTTGCGGCTGCAATAGCAGCGGCAACGACGAGGACGCTCCTCGAACGCTACCCTACTAGGGAAACCCCCCAGACGGACGACGCAAATTGTAAGCCAATACATACATAGACCTGGTGCCGTGACTCAGCTAATTCGAGATTTTTCAAGTGATACCCCAAAGAAATTTGGTCTCGATGCCAAAACCCAGCCAAAAACCTAATGGTCAGTGTCGAATTGCCTATCACTGTACCACTCAGTCAAAGAAGATACTAACCACCGACAGATCTCTCGCACTATGTCATCCCGCTTGCGAAAAACAAACGCTTCGTCGAACGGACTGAGACATATGAACTCAAGCGAATGCTGTTTGACGAGATGAACCCAACAGTTGCTCTGGTAGGATTAGGCGGCGTAGGCAAGACGCAGATCGCCTTGGATATCGCCTACTGGGTCAAGGAGAATAAGCCCGAGTACTCCGTCTTCTGGGTGCCGGCTGTGAGCCTCGCAAGCTTTGAGCAAGCATATGCCGACATAGCCAACGAGCTTGACATTTCTCCAAAAAAAGAGGATGGTGATGATATCAAGTCATCCGTCAAACAGTTTCTAAGCTCAAAGAGAGCGGGTTATTGGTTCCTGATTGTCGACAACGCGGACGACAACGAGATCTTGCACGGATCATCAGACGATGACGATGGCCTCGACAGCTATCTTCCACAGAGCGAGAATGGCATCACGCTATTTACGACACGATTGAGAGACCTGGCGATGTCGGTTGCAGACGACGCTGTGGTGGACCTCGATGCGATGAATCGAGATGACGCCATGAAGCTATTTGGGAGATCGCTCCACCAGCAGCGACAGGGTCTCCTCCGGGATTCCGACTCGACGCTGAAGCTCTTGGACTTCCTCACACATCTTCCCTTGGCAATTACGCAAGCCTCGGCGTATCTGAATCGGAATCGCCATGTATCTATTGCCAAGTACCTTCAACTTGTGCAGGGTACAGAGCAAACCCGGATGAGTACATTGAGCCGAGAATTCGACGACAGGACTCGGTATCCCAGATCACGAAACGCCATCGCAACTACGTGGTTGGTGTCGTTTGACCAAATCAAGCAAACGGACAGCTATGCTACGGAGTTGCTATTCTTTATTTCACTCATCGAGCCAAAGTCCATACCACGCTCGATCTTGTACTGTTCTGGTTCTGAAGATGACATGGAGTACGCTATCGGTACTCTGTGTTCCTATGCGTTTCTGGTTGCCCAAGAGGACGCACAAAGCTTCGATATGCACAGTCTGGTGCACCTAGCGGCACGTTTCTGGGCAAAACAACAGCCAATTGAGGAACAAATCACAAGGGCTGCTGTAAAGCATCTTTGCGAGATTTTCCCAACAAATGACCATGAGAACCGTACCGTCTGGCGAGCGTATATGCCACACGCCCTCAGGCTCTGGAGTACAAAAACACAAATCAATGATCTAGAGATCCAGGCCGCTTTGTATGTCAAAGTTGGTCAGTGCCTATTGCGCGATGGACGAGTCAAGGAAGCCATTAAGCTACTAGAACACTCAGTGGATATTCAAGCAACGCTTGAAGAAGAACATCCAGATCGACTTGCATCTCAGCACCATCTCGCAAATGCATATCAAGATGATAGAAAAACCAAGGAAGCTATGGAGCTACTAGAACATATAATGAAAGTTGTAGCAACGCTTGACGAAGGGCATCCAGATCTGCTAGTGACTCAGTACATACTTGCAAAGACATACTACTTCGACGGGCGTATCCAAGAGGCTATCCAGCTACTTGAGCGCGTAGTGGAGGTTGAGGCAGAAATATTTGATGAGGAGCATCCAAATCGACTTGCCTCCCAGCACGCACTTGCAATGGTATACCGCTCAGAAGGGCGTGTCCAGGAGGCTATTGAGCTACTTGAGCGCGTAGTGAAGGCTGAGGCAGAAACACTTGACGAGGGACATCCAAGTCGACTTGCCTCACAGCAAGAGCTCGCAGCGGTATACCGCTCAGAGGGGCGTATTCAGGAGGCTGTTAAGCTAATGGAGCGCGTAGTGGAAATTAAGGCAGAAACACTTGACGAGGGGCATCCAGGTCAACTTGCCTCACAACACCAACTTGCAGTAGTATACCACTCAGAGGGGCGTATTCAGGAGGCTATTAAGCTACTGGAGCACGTAGTGGAGGTTGAGGCAGAAACACTTGACGAGGGGCATCCAGATCAACTTGCCTCACAACACCAACTCGCAGTAGCATACCACTCAGAGGGGCGTATTCAGGAGGCTATTAAGCTACTGGAGCGCGTAGTGGAGGTTGAGGCAGAAACACTTGACGAGGGGCATCCAAGTCGACTTACCTCACAGCACTCACTCGCAGTAGTATACCACTCAGAGGGGCGTGTCCAGGAGGCTGTTAAGCTACTTAAGCACGTAGTGGAGGTTGAGGCAGAAACACTTGACGAGGGGGACCCGGACCGACTTCTTTCACAGCAAAGGCTCGCAGAATGTCTTGCAGAATTGCCTCCAGAGGCAACTTAGTAGATGGCCAGAAAGAGGAGATGCTATGAATGATGGTGAAGAAGTAGCCAAAGCCTTTTCCATCAATGGGCAAAAGTCATGCTAGCTGTTCCCAGCAAGCTGTTGCAATCGGCGCCGGGACCAACTGTACCCAGTTGCGATAATAAAACAATGATCAACTACAATCGCCTTTGTCTTACAAACTGGCATGCATTTAGTGTTTCTGACCCAAATACATCAAACATGGTTTAGGGCAAACATCAAGATTATCATACTTGAAGAGAAACATCCGCTGAACTTTCGAGTGAGAGCATTGCAACCTGGCAGCCTCTTCCAGTTGTGGAGCTGAAAGCTTGAGGGCCATTGCAGACGGGCCAGCTCACAGTGAGGGAGTTGGATGCTCAGCTACCAAGACTCGACCAGCCCCGTAAGATCTAATCAGATAAGCCGGGTTTCCGCTGCATTCCGACTGACGAAAAGAAAAACTTATTCACAAGTGTGGCAGTACGGCTCCGCATGGCTTCTCCACAGCGAGTGCTGACGGGCCGACACGTCGGCGGCGGTGCGGGGGCCGGGAGATGAGGCGGCGATAAGTAGGGATCTGGTCCAGAATCGACCCTGTTTTCTAAACTTAGTTTACTAGTAAGAAGTCTACAGATATAGAAGAACGGGGACGAAGGCAAGGCTGAAGGTGGCTGGATATCAGATGTTGCGGTGCTGCTCGGCCCAGACGCCACCGTGTAAGGGAAGATGGCGGAGGGAAGATGCTTGACAAGAAGGACCCTGAAGAGATACGGGTGACGTAATGTAGGTGTCAATGTGGGCGAGCGTCCCCTGCCAAGCAAGTTCCAGGTCGTGATGTGATCATGCGCGTCAGACATGACATGTCACGATCTCACCTCATCACCCTCTCTCTTCCCACGCGACCTGGGCCCATCTCTGCAGACTGACGAGGTGTATCTCGGGATTCAGCTGACAGGATTGCCACATCTTATCGTTTTCCCGTCCATCGTTCATCTGAAAACAACGGCCAAGCCCCAAACTCAACTCAACGCAACGCCACGCAACGCAACGCAACGCAATACATCATGAAGTCAATCGGCATCTTCCCGGGCTCCGGCGGCCTGGGCGGCAGCACTTACGACTACCTCTTGAAGCTCCTGCCCGCCGACCACATCATCCTGATCAACCGGCATCCGGAGAAGGTGCCGCAGGAACACATCAAGAACGGCGTGCGGGCGCGCAAGGCCTCGTACGAGTCGAGTCCCGCGGACCTCGAGGCCGTCTTCTCGGGGATCGAGGTGCTCTTCCTCATCTCTTACCCGAGCCACGTGCACGACTACCGGAGAAAGGTAACAGACTTCCACGGCATGACCTCCACGCTCGACTCTATCCCCCCGGGGTCCGAGTAAGCTGACTGACCACCGGGTCCCAGGTACAACTGCCAGCGATCAACGCCGCGCGCCGGGCGGGCGTGAAGCACATCTTCTACAGCTCGCTGGCGTTCGGCGGCGACCTCGGGGACTCGTCGCTGGCCGAGGTGATGCAGGCGCACCTCGACTCGGAGCGCCACCTCGCCGAGGCGGCGGCGTCGGACCCGGGCTTCACGTACACGGCGGTGCGCGAGGGCCTCTACTCGGAGTCGTACCCGATCTACACGGCCTTCTCCGACGTCAACGCGCCGGCCGGCGAGGTCCTCATACCCCACGACGGCTCCGGGCCGGGCGTCGCCTGGGTCAAGCGCGGCGAGCTCGGCGAGGCGACGGCCAAGCTGATCGCGCAGTACTCGTGGGACCCGGACCACTTCCCGCACGTCAACGCCAAGGTGCTCCTGACGGGCCCGCGGGCGTGGTCGCTCGCCGAGACGGTCGCGGCGCTGGGGCGGGCGGCCGGGCGGCCGGGCCTGCGGATCGTCAAGGTGGACGTCGACGAGTACGCCAGGCTGCCGCAGGTGCTCGCGCGGTTCGGGTCGCCGGACAAGGCGCGGACGTGGGCGACGGCGTGGCGCGCCATCGAGGCCGGCGAGACGGCCGTCGTGACGGACACGCTGCGGGAGATCATCGGACGGGACCCCGAGGAGTTTGACGTGACCATCCAGCGCCTGCGGCAGGGATAGGATTAATCAACAGCGATTTGGCTTTTTGTTTAGTCAGGATAGAGAAGATAATCGGGCTCTGTCCTGTGACGGAGAGTTTTGCGGCGTAAGAACAAAAGCCAGGTCGTGCCCAGACACCACACAAATGGCGGCTGTCGACCGAGGGAGAGAGAGAGACTATCAGCGCAACAATGGTTCGGGGCGATCCAAACCCGGAAGAAAGGTGCCCGGACAGTAATGCTTTTCTTCTACTATCGGATGATTACAGATAGGACAGTAAGCGCTTTCTTTTGGCAGTGAACAGAGATGAACATGCCGCGGTCCAGCCTACTGAGTAGTAGCTCAACTGCCATACGACATTGGCAAGCAAACTGGGACTTGTACAAACAGCTGGGTGATTTGGTTTAGTGCCTCTTGCAGCCTGTGGAGATCATCCACCTTGGCATTCGCCGATTGTCTACGGAGTAGGTTTCCAACACAACGGAGTCTGACGGAGCGCCCACCGAGTCAAGCGTTCCCTGGCTGCTGTACCGCTTATCCGTGGCCTTTCTTCGCAATCATTACGGGCTCTGTCACGAGTCGTATTCGCCGCTGGCGTAGGCCGCGAGGTGCGTTCTGCGCCAAGCCCGAAACAGAAGCCCGTCGAGGCCTGCATGGAAGACGTGCTGGTGACTGGACGGCCACCATACATGGCTACAGCCTACAAGCCTTGATCCATGGCTCATTAGCGCCCCATGGCCAATTCGCTTTTGATAATGCCGTGTCCAAAGTAGGACCCCCCGGCCTGTGTGGAAGCGAACTGACAAGGCTTTCCTCCGTACCTGTGTTGTATGTACTACGTATGGGAGCCGAGTGTGAATCAGGGAGGCATCCCACTCGGTGCGGCAGCCAAATAAACGTTTTAGAGTTAAACCAACCGTGCCGCCAATAAATTCCCTATCCTAGCATTGACCGCCTGTAGCCCCTCGCTCGTTCTCGACGTTGGAGCTGAGCCCCCAATCTTGGCTCTTGAGACTCGCTGCATCTGGCATATGGCATAAACAAAGCATTGTCCCAATCAAGCTCTCGGTATTCTTTGTACAGGAGACAACTCATGCATATGGGCCTGGCTAACCCTCTACCCATTCTTCCTCCTTTCCAAGCCCAGTCCGCGATCGCCAGCCTGGGGTCCTTTAACCGCTGCGCTACCCCGGTTCCGGCAGGTCGGCTGCGCGCATTTCGGCACTCGACCTCCTGGATCTGTCCAAGACTCCCCCGCTGGGGTGGGATACAGCTGGAGTCCGAGGGGGGGTGCATGGAGTCGAGGGTGACATTGTCCCTTCTGCACCTACCACTTAATCTATCTCGACTTTGGCGACTTGCTCAATCTAGGCGTGACGGCCGAGACACAAAAGGTCCATTGATCTGTTTGGGTCTGATTGTCCCATATGGCCCCAACCCCCCCGGTCTCGTCAGCGGTGAGCCTGTCAAAAGAAGCCCGGGAGTGTCTCTCTGGTTACGTGCTCGTCTGATGGGGTCGATAGGTCCCTGGCCAACGCACACGCATTTTCCCCTCGGCTTTAGTAAACTTTCACTCCCCTTGAGGGACCCCTAAGACAGGGACCGGAGCGCCATTTCAACGCAGGAGCCGCGGGACGATCACTAGGGGGTTTGGTTGGTTTCCCAAAGGTCTTGGTTGTTTACCTTCCTCACTGAGAACCGTCGAGCGAGATGCGGGCTGAGGGCTGGGGTCGCATAGCTTGTGGATTGCATGTATGCGGAACTTTTGTGCTGCCAACCCGCACCGCCTCTTGTTCTGATCGGGCAGGTCTCCTGTCCATCAGTTCAGCCTAGGGACACACACACACAGAGAGAGAGGGAGAGAGAGAGAGAGAGAGAGACATATGCCGGACTATGGAGAGGGCGGTTGGCAAACAAGATATTGCACATGGTCGCGGGCCGCAAGGACCAAACGGGAAGGTTGTTAGAGAAGTCGGCCCAGATGACACCCGGCGGCTCGACCCCTCGTCATCCATTTGTTTCTTTGCGTCCGCCAAAGAACCCTCACACTCTACTCAATACCCCTCTCATCTGGTCTACCTTGATCCCCTTACTCACTCGCGAAACGTCGTTATACATATAACGGCATCGCCTGCCCGGACGACGATGGCGACCGCTCCTCTCCACCCTCGTTGAGCACTCCTCAAGGATCCTCCCCTCACGCCCACGATGAAGTCCCTCGCCGCCCTGTCCACCCTCGTGGCTGCCGCTTCCGCCGCCTCTATCGCGGCGGAGAGCCCCGAGCCCGTGAGCTACGACGGCACAAAGGTCTTCCGCGTGTCGGTCGGAGACGAAGTCGACAGGGTCAACGACGTCGTCAGCAAGCTCCAGCTGAGCACCTGGAAGGGCGCCCCGAGGGCCGGCGCCTTCGCCGACATCGTCGTCCCCGCCGCCGACGTGGGCGCCTTCGAGGCCTCCGTCGCCGGCATGAACGTCACCACCATGCACGAGGACCTCGGCGCCTCCATCGCCGACGAGTCGACGTTCTCGACCTATGCCGGTACGTGTGTGCCTTTGAAAGCATAGGCAATGACGGGTTACTGACGGTCCTTTGCGCGCAGTCGGCTCAGCCAACGCCACCTGGTTCAACTCGTACCACGCCTACGCCGACCACCTCAAGTTCCTCAACGACCTCGTCGCGTCCTACCCCAGCAACGCCGCCATCGTCACCTCGGGCAAGTCGCTGCAGGGCAACGCCATCACCGGCATCCACATCCACGGCACCTCCAAGGGCATCAAGCCCGCCGTCGTCCTCCACAGCACCGTCCACGCCCGCGAGTGGATCAGCACCATGGCCAACGAGTACATCGCCTGGAACCTCCTGAGCAAGTACTCCTCCGACACGGAGATCAAGAGCTTCGTCGACAAGTACGACTTTTACATCTTCCCCGTCGTCAACCCCGACGGTAAGTCCCCCCTTCCTCCCCTCCCCTTGTTGGGGAACCAACGCATGACGGGGGGAAAAAGAAACCGACTTTGCTCATCCGAACATCATCTAGGCTTCATCTACACCCAGACCACCGACCGCCTGTGGCGCAAGAACCGCCAAACCACCTCCGGCAGCAGCTGCATCGGCCACGACATCAACCGCAACTGGCCCTTCCAGTGGTCCGTCACCGGCGGCGCCTCCACCAACCCGTGCGCCGAGGACTTCAAGGGCGTCACCCAGGGCGACGCCCCCGAGACCGCCGCCCTCTCGGCCTGGCTGTCCGGCACCAAGAAGGCGCAGGGCCTCAAGCTGTTCATAGACTTCCACTCCTACTCGCAGCTCTTCATGACCCCCTACGGCTACTCGTGCTCCGCCGTCACCGCCAACAACGCCGAGCTGCAGACGCTCGCCAAGGGCGCCGTCGCCGCCATCAAGGCCGTCCACGGCACCTCGTACCAGTACGGCCCCATCTGCTCCACCATCTACAAGGCCACCGGCAGCAGCGTCGACTACGTCCAGGACGTCGTCAAGGCCGACTACGTCTTCACCCAGGAGCTCCGCGACACCGGCAACTACGGCTTCGTCCTGCCGGCCAGCCAGATCGTCCCCACGAGCGAGGAGACCTACGCCGGCGTTCGCCACCTGCTCTTGAACATGAAGTAGAGGGGCCGCGTCTGGCACTGTCGGCCCGACGGGTTCTGCCTTGCGTCTCTCGTGTTGAGCGCGTGCACTTGTTTCCCTGTATCTATTTTTCACGATGAACATATCACATTTACTCGTCCATCCGCCGCGTTTGGCCTGCGTCCCGTGAAGCCGGTTATGTATGTTGATGTCTTTTCCCTGCTGACGATGAGCCCGAACGGAAAGGCTTAGCGAATCGTCACGAATCGAAACACTACATGTTCTCGTATCCCCCTCCCCCCCCCCCCAGACTTACCGCTTTGTAACGTCGTGGCAGGGCTTGTCAACCTTTGCAGCTTACAGGGGCCCAAATCAACCTTTGGTGTACTCATTTACGGCCCACTCCTCCGTATACAAATCATCTACAAGGCAGATGACGACAAAGGGTGACCTTGATGATGAACTGTCCAAACCTTGCTGGGCCAACACGTATTGTTGCAAGAACTTCGAGTCGAAGCTGGGCTTGAATCACATCATACCTGCATACCTCTGGCCAAGGGCCTCTTGGCACGGTCCGCCACGCGCTGATACGGCTCCGGTGCCATCGTCGACGAAACGCCAACCCATCAGACGATGCTTCTCGGCTGCATGTGCGGCAAGGTTCTCGGCCGTCTCCGAGCGAGGAGTTCCCGGACAGACGCGGCCAAAGCGGAAGGGGTTCGCCAGAACAACATTAAGCCCATCTTTAATTTATACAAGGTTTGTCTTCTTTTCCGTGTTAGTCGTCGCCCCCCGGACGTGTGCTGCCACCCTGCCGGATACCTACCTACATTGCTGTCTCACATTTAACCCCTCCGACACCAAGCAACGAGCCAACCTGCATTCCATCCTGGGCCCTGCATCGTTGGATTCTCTGTAGGGTCTTCGTCGACAGACCTTACCCGTCTTAGTTACTCACAATGCGCCCGCCGTCAGGGCCTTCGGCGCTGCTGGCCGCGCTCGCCGCGCTCGCCCTCCCCGCCGCGTCCGCCGAGTCGCTCCAGCGCCGGGATCTCCAGCCCCTCCCGCTGTCCACTCGGGACCAGTACATCGTAGACTCCAAGAACGCGGCCGTCGTCATGGTCGGCGTCAACTGGGCCGGCCACGAACGCGCCATGATCCCCGAGGGCCTGCAGTACCAGTCCGTCGAGGCCATCGTCAAGAAGATCGCCGAGACCGGCTTCAACTCGGTCCGCATGACCTTTGCCAGCGAGATGGTGGACGACATCGTCGAGGGGGGCGGCGACGCCAGCCTCGAAGCGACCCTGAAGCGCGCCCTCGGCCCGGAGAACGGCACCGCCGTCATGAGGCAGATCCTCAAGAACAACCCCGGCTTCAGCGAAGGCACCAAGAGGCTCGAGGTCTGGGACGCCGTCGCCGCCGAGCTCGGCCGCCAGAACATCTACCTCCACCTCGACAACCACGTGTCCAAGGCGGGGTGGTGCTGCAACCCCTACGACGGCAACGGATGGTTCGGCGACACGTACTTTAACACGTCCAACTGGGTCCGGAGTCTGGCCTTCATGGCGGAACACGTTCGTATCCTCCCCCATCCCCCCTTTCCCCCCCCCTCCCCTTTCCCTCTATCCGCACCGATGCTGACATCCATACCACAGGGCAAAGCCGCCAAATGGCCATCCTTCTCCAGTATGGGCCTGCGCAACGAGCTGCACGACCCCTTCTCGGCGCCGCCGGCGCCCAGCCTGGAGAACACGACGTGGACGACGTGGAAGACGCGCATGGTGCAGGGCGCCAACGCCATCCACGGCGCGAACCCGGACGTGCTCATCTTCTTCGGCGGCCGCATCTTCGACTTTGACATCTCGGCGCCCGTCCAGGGCCGCTTCGGCAGCGAGCCCGGCTTCAACTTCTCGCTCGCCGAGCTGCCCTTCCGCGACAAGTTCGTCTTCGAGCAGCACCAGTACGACCAGGGCCTCGTCGACGACGCCTGCGCCAGCTACGGCGACATCCTCACCGCCTTCGGCTCCAACGCCATGACCATCGCCGACGCCGGCTCGAACCGCGCCCCGCTCGTCATGTCCGAGTGGGGCCACGAGCAGACGGACGCGAGCGCCAAGTACAAGGACAAGTTCCGCCGGTGCCTCATGGACTTCATGGTCGAGAAGCAGATCGGCTGGATGGTCTGGGTTCTCGGCGGGAGCTACTACACCCGCGAGGGCGTGCAGGACAAGGACGAGCCTTGGGGTAAGCCACCCCAGCATCATCACCGTCACCATCACCATCATCACGTCCCCCCCCTTCAGATGACGAGAGAATAACGGGATATCTGACTTTGATTGTTAGGTTTGCTGGACCACAACTGGAGCTCCTACCGCGGCAAGGATTCCATCGTGCAGCTCCAGCGCGACATTCGTAGGACGTACGAGGCCTACAACAAGAGCATGCCGGCGGCGGCCAGAAGCCCGGGGAACCGGCCCAAGAACGCCGCGTCCGGCATTTCGCAGCACCAGCCCGCGATCGTGGTATTGGGTACGATTGCCGCCGTTCTCCTTCAACTGGGGCTTGCTTGAATGGTGTGGGCGCAAAGTAGTGGTGTTCCAGAAAGACGTAGGATCTAAACGGGCGAAGATGGCATGTTTGGCTTCTACAGCGCACATTGTTGCTACAATCTCATGTAGAGCACGCTTAGATAGCCATAATCGGTGGATTGTTTGTGTCAGGATTCCCGTTCAGTAACAAAACAGGCCATTATCTCGATGCTCGGTGTTCTCTCTGCCCAGTCACTCCCCGAAAGGGAAGACCTGTTTCCCATCGAACCACGTCTCCAGGACCTTCGTCTGGAGCGCTCTCTCGGGATCCCACTCCATGTCCAGCACGGCCAGGTCCGCCCTCTTCCCGACCTCCAGAGACCCCACACGGCCCTCCAGGAAGCAGCTCCTCGCCGCGCCCTCGGTGGCGCCGGCCAGGACGTCGCACAGCGACAGCGCGAACTGCGGGTTAACGACGGCGTCGAGCGCCGGCTCCCGCGCCGACCGCCGCGTAGTCGCGACGTAGAGGTTGCTCACGATGTGGTGCGGCGCCGTCGGCGCGTCGGAACCGATGGCCACCGGCGCGCCGCCGTCCGCGAACTCGCTGTAGGCGAAGGCGCGGCCGCACCGGCGCTCGCCGATGAGCCGCGGCCACGCGCGGAGGATGGCCGGGTCGGCGTGCACGGGCTGGACGGACGCCGTGATGCCGAGGCGGCCGAGCCGCCGCGCGTCCTCGGCCGCGGTGACCTCGAGGTGCTCGATGCGCGGGCGGCGCTCCGGCCCGACGTGCCTCTCGAGCACGTCGATGGCGTGCAGCGCGACCTGGAGGCCGAGCCGCGTCGCCGCCTCGACCACGGCGCCCATCCGCTCCGGCGACCAGGCCGGGTCGCAGTTGTCGCCGTCGTGGCTGCACGGCTCCCTCAGGATCGCCGTGCACCCGTCGACGATGCCGTCGCAGACGAGCTTGACGCCGACGAGCCGGCAGTCGGGGTCCGTCTCGAGGCTGGACGCCCGCGCGAGCTCGGCGGCCCGCTCGACCTGCTTGACGTTCTCGGCGCCGTCGTCCCGCGGCAGGATGAGCCAGTAGGCGGCGAGGCGCACGGGGACCCGCCGGCCCGCCGCCTTCTCCTGCCGTCTGTACTCCTGCAGCGCGCTCCAGCCGTCCTCCTCCATCGCCATGTCGACGAGGCCCGTGAAGCCCGCGCTGCTGTAGTCGTCGATGGCGGTCTTGATGGCCGAGATGCGGTCCTCCGGGGTCGACAACCTCGCCATGTACTGGGGGACGAACTTCATGCTGGCCGCCTCGGAGAGCAGCCCGGAGGGGCGCCCGGTCTTCGGGTCGCGCACGATTTCGCCGCCGGGGGGGGTCGGGCTCGTCGTCCAGGCCGAGCTCCTCCAAGGCGGCTGAGTTCGCCCACGTCGAGTGCAGGTCCTTCGCCGTGATCAGGACGGGGCGCGGGTCCAGGTCGTCAATCAGCGAGGCCAGGGGGCCCTCGGGGGTCATGAAGTGCATCCAGCCGCTGCAGAATATGCGCTTCTGATCGGGGTTGGCGACGGCGTGTTCCTTTATCGTCCTCCGGATGTCCGCGAGGCTCTTGCAGTCGTCGAGTTTCAGCTTCTGCAGAGTCTGTCCCAGCTGGGTCAGGTGGATATGTCCGTCGACAAGACCGGGTAATATGGTGCGACCACCAACATCGCGGACCCGAGCCCCCGCATCGATGGCCGCCTTCACCTCCTCCGCGGAAGCCTCTCCGACGTATGTGATGATGCCATCCTTCACAACCAAGGATTCCGCGAAGTTGGCTTCCGACCGTTGACCCGGCGGCGCTTTATTCGAGCGGAAGAACTTGCCGTTCTGCAAGACGATACTCTCTGGCTGGCTGTCATGATGTGATGCGTGAGGTTAAGTTGGATGGAGTCTGGAGCCCCGGAAAGCTAGACCGAATTGCCATCACACAGTTCAACTCATGGCTACAGCCCACTTTATATATATATATATACCTATAGAGAGAGAGAGAGAGAGAGAGAGTCTCCAGCTATTCCAACAAATTGGACATGTGGCACTATCTCCGAGACGAGCGAGAGGGGGTTGAGTTGCATCACCTCTCGATAGCTACGATAGCTTGGATTTACGCGCCGAGCTGCGGGGGCCATGCAGGGTTCCCGTCCGACCCCTCTTCCGGATGCTCGGCGTTGCTACCACACGGTGGGGTGAAGTTTCGTGGTGTCAAGAAAAGACGCTGGCCCTCCGTGATCGGGGCAAACATTCCTGAGTGGGTATTCTTGGCCCGATAAGGCTCGGACCCTGGCAAAGAGGGCTGCATATCGATGCATATCAACAACCTTGGGGGACGTTTCGGGCGATCCCGGATTACCGGGGGGTTGACGCTGTGTAATCATCGCTGCGGACCTGCATGGTTTAGAAATACGAGCACCTAGGGATTTGTTCTCGTCATCACACACTTGGTTGTCGATTTGTGCTTCACAGTAAGCTGGGATCAAAGTCCTGGATGAGAACTCTGGTTACTTGGGAGAGCTACTGGGCCTCCCTGATGAATCTCTGACAACCACCATCGGTACCCGGTACCTTGCGGCCGGCTTAGAGATGACCGGATTCGTCCAACAGCCTGTTCTCGGAGGATGGCCAGGGTTCATGTATAGCTTATGCCGAGTAACGGGGTCGCCGTGTTCACTTGCAGAGAGCCTCGATAACCCATATCTACCGCCACGTGGTTGGAACAGGGTCCGTGAACCTGTCAGATTGGGAATAACTGCAATACCACGCTGGTAATGAGGACGAAACAGGGGTTGTCTGATCGTGAAGTCATGTGACCGCAGAGATCTGCGTCCCACAATTGCACGGGAAACGTCTGCTTTCTGTCTTTTCGTCGGAGCTGAAGAGACACATCCCGAAGGTCCCCGTGGTGATAAACATGCAGAAAAGCAATGCCAAGCGAATCTCGTGCGTCTCCCACCCAAAAAGAAACTTCTGAGGTCATGGCAAATCTGATAAATGATACAAAAGGTGCAAACGATGCCAGCAGAGAAAGGTAAACAAACAATGCCGCAGATCCCGCGCGTACTCCTCCCCTCTCCCCCTCCTCCCCCACCCCCCCCCCCCGTCATCCTCTCCCGGTTCTCAACATCGCCCAGTGAGCGATTGTTCCATTGAATGCTTTGCCCAATAGACATCATTGCCTGACTGACAGCCGCGGGGATAGATTCGCTGTTCTCGCACGTTCCCATGTACCAACTGCTCCACTGCGTTGGCCAAGTGTGAGTTCCGGGAGAGCGACTTCAAGCGGCCGCCAGTGTCGCGCGAGTATGTTGCGACGCTCGAGTCCCGCATCGCGTCGCTCGAGAGTCTCGTCGGCAGGCTGAAGACTGCGGATAGGGATGAGCGCAACCGGATCTTGGACGACCTGGAGGACCAGGACTATGTGCCTTCGTTCTCCAGCCTGCCGTTGGAGGACGAAATCGCACTGAGTGAAGCCATGACGAAGGCCTCGTTCCAGGAGATGACTGACGGTAAACGAAGACCTCCCCTCTTTCGCCGTCCTGCCGATCGATGACGCCTGACTTTCACCCTTTTCAGGTTCACTAATCTACCACGGGCCGACAAGCATCTACCAGAATGAAGTCAGCAGCCCGACGTATCCCCCCGCCAGCTCGCCCGCAGTTTCTAAGCCACCATTCATCCACGAGGAGAGGGAGGATCTGGTCAACGACACCATGCGTCACTGCATAGCTCTCTTCTTCCATTGGCAGTATCCGGTGGCCATGTTCATCGACAGAGAGTTATTCATCCAAGATTACGAAGCTAACCCCGTCAACGGCAACTACTGTTCGCCGCCCCTCATTTACAGTATGGCTGCAATCGGCGCCCTCATGTCGAGGGACCCGGAGGTCAGGGCAAAGTCGCCCGGTTTTGCCGACACTGCACAATCAATACTGATGACGAGCGAATTCGGAGTCTCGAGACCAACATCAGTCCAGGCCTTCCTCTGTCTTGCCTACTACGAGACCGGGGTGGGCAACATGTCCAAGACCTGGGTATATACAGGTACTTTGCTAGAGGGCTCTCCGGACGAATGACGTTCTAACCCTATACTAGGGATAGCTTACAGAATGTGCCAAGACCTCGGTCTGCAGAGAGATCTTGCACACTGGGGTCCCGATGTTAAGCCTAACCCATCAAGCCCTTTTCCTTTCAACAATGAGTTTCGACGGCGTGTTTATTGGGGCTGTTTTCTGTCAGACAAGTGAGTTTGAGTAGGGACGGGGAGGGAAGTTTGTGATTGTTCTCGCCCTGACGCAGCAGCTTCAGAATGTTCAGTCTTTTCCTCGGCCGCCCGACCTTCTTGTACGAACATGACGCAGACGTCAACATTAGCGAATCTCTACCGTAAGCCCCCTCTCTAGCCACAGACAACTCGGGAAGCGAAAAAGAAAAAAGGCTGATGTTCGTTCCGAGACTCGATCCCCCGATTTGGGACAACTGGCTGCAGGCTCATGGCCTCGGGTTTCTGCAGACTGGGCAGCCGGCCGGCCCGAGACTGACGCCGTGGTTCAACCAGATGCTCGAGCTGGGTCGGATAGTCCACGATATGCTGTCCAAGACCTTCGCCCCGAGAAAAATGAAAGACCCTTCGGCTCGGAGATGGAACGAGCTGTCTCTGAGCAAGCTGAACGCTCGGCTGGTTGCGTGGCATGAGGCGCTACCGAGCGAAATGAGGTGGAAGAAGTGGACTACCAACAAAGACGTGCTCCAACCGCATGTGGCCTGCTTGCAGTACGTTTGTTTACCTTACCTCCCGCCTCTGGGTTCTCTGCTCGTGGAAGCGGCAATGCCTCTGGTGACGTGTTACTCACCCCGTGCTGCAGTACATTTTATCACACCACTCGCATCTGCCTGAATCTGCCCTTCATCACGTCCGTCCGGCAAATACCCAGCGTCCCGGACGGGGAGGCCGAGGACTTGACCAACCCGATCATCAAGTCATTCGTTATATGCCAGTCGTCGGCGCAGAGGATAGTCGATGTTTTGCAGCGTTTCAGAACCCAGCATACCCTCGAGAACACGCCTCTGAATTTCATCGGCGCCACTATTCTCGCGACGAACGCCGTCTTGGCCACGACGCGGCGCCAGAGCAGCCCGCCGTCGTCGTTGAAGGACACGTTGCTGCCTTTCCTGGACAGCGCCCTGGAAGAGCTGTCCGCGTCGTGGAAGCTCGCCGGTGAGGCGCGGCAGAAGGTCAGGAAAGCGTTCAACTTGACGACGCAGGTGCGGCATCCGCAGTCGCCGGTCAGGACGAGACAGCCGGATCGGGGCGCCGACAGCAAAGCCCGGGCCTACGACCAGCCGCCGCCGCCGCCGCCGCCGCCGGTGGTGAACCCGGTCCAGACGCAAGCCAGCGCCGACCCACCTGGCGAAAAGTCCTCGAGCCGAGAGGAGATTGTCTGGGACCCTATGAGCGTGCTTGGTAGCGAGGCGGCCTACTGGGGGAGCTATAGGAATGATATGTTTGACGGTTGGGATCCGAACTTTGTCAACGATTTAGCAGATGCAGACTGGCTGAATCAGCCACACGCGCCAGAATGAATGAGAAACTATTAATTTTGTACCGAACGTTGATTAATCAATCCCACAACCATGCTGAACAGTGCCATATAGTCACTCTCAATCGCGTTTCTGTACGCCCTCGCTCGACATGGATAAGTCTAGGGGTTTCACGGCGCGTACACAAACCTGTAGGGCCGGCCTCTCCTATACACGTCTCTGCTGAATTGTGCCTTTTTGTGCCAGCCATCCGAGACCGCTGCCGTCTCTGCACTCGTCGCTACTGCATCAGCGTCGGAACTCGTCGATGACGCTCGCCGGCTTCGTGTACTTCAGCGTTGTCTTGTAGTCGTGAGGCAGGCCAAAGACTTTGGGACCTGCGATTTCGAGAGCCCGTTCCGTGGCCCAAAGCGGATGGCCCGCCATGACCATGACCGAGACCTTCAGTCCGTATCTGTACTCCTGAACGCCGATGGCCTCTCCGGTGGAGGTGTCCAGAAGGAATATCAGATCGGGGACAGTAGCAAGAGTCTACGGGAGAGACAAACATCAGCCAAAGACACCCATGCCGAGTGAAGCGAGGGGGGGGGGCGGAATACGGAATACTTACCGTCTCGCCTCCGTCCTCTGATTTGCCAAGGACTCCGAGATTCTCGTTCATGAAAGGGACCACAACCTCTTTCAGCCCTTCCCCGACCCTGTCCGCCTCAGTCTCCATCTCGCTTTCACTGAGCCTCTCGACAGTCACCTTGCCCAAGCTGTGCGCCGTGGCGGTCAATGTGCTCTCGACGCTGCGGATCTTGCCCTGGAACAGCACCTTGGCGCTGCCCGGACCGCCGGCCGCCTCGATGATGTCCTCCGCCACGGTCGAGACGGTGCCGGCCTGCTGCGCTCGGGCGACGACGCGTCCGAGACGCCAGGCCAGCGAGTAGGTGTTCGGGATGCCGACCTCGCGCATGAGCTTCCCGGGAATGGGTCGGCCGGCGGCGCCGGCTGCGGAGCCCATTGCGACGCATGCGTCCCGGATGGCGACGCCGGCGGAAGTCTCGTCGGTCTGGGTGGCCGGGATGACGACGTTGTGCCCGGTGCCACTGCAGAGCGTCACGGGGAGGAGCTCGTTGATGGACTTGGCGTGTATGTACTGCGACACCATCTCGAACTGAGGGTACGCACGTCCTAGTACCTCGTGTTAGCAAAAATGTGGCATCAGTAGCGGAGCTGGAGAAGGCGTACCCATCATATCGCCGTCTACCGTTGGGATGTCATAGTATCTTGAGCTTCCCCAGATCAGAGTGGAAACACCGTTTGCGCCCCCGATTTCGGTGGCGATCAGCTTTTCAAACTTCATCCTCATCTCCTTCTCCATTTCTTGCATGGCATGCCACACACCATCCCCTCCCGGGCGTTCGACGCTCACTGCCGGCGTACCGACGCTGGCGACGGGCGGCATCATCTCGTCGTCCTTGAGGTCTTCTATGCGGACGATCTTCATCGACTCTCCCTCGGCGAGGAGCTGTCTCAGTTCGAGATACGGTGCGTACGGGGACCCGCCGCCGCCGCATCCGAGAATGTAGCAGCCGATGGACAAGAAATGAAGATCGGTCCCGGACAGCGACCACAAGCCGTTGGAGTCCACCATGGGCTTGTAGCTCTCGAGATCCACCGCCTCGCCTTCCGGGCCGTCCTCGGAAGCCGGCGCATCGTGCTTCTTGGTCTCTTCAAACAGCTCTTCGTCGACGAGCCGGTCCGGCGCGGCGGTCTTGACCATCTCGGAGTAGACTCGCTTGTGGTCAGCAGGCAAGGCAACCTCGATCTTGATGGAGGTCTGGTTCTGCACGTAGGGGACTCCGGCGACTTCCTCGTGGAGCACCGTCACGGACCTGTCGTCTCCGCCCTTGGCCACCGCGTCCTGGATCGCCCTGGCCTTCACGTCCGCGATGCCGCCCTGGATGTCGGAGCCGTGGATGATGGTCTCGGCCGAGCCGCAGATCCTCGCGATGGACGCGCCGATGGCGTTGGCGACGCCGGCGTGCTCGGGAACGACGACCTTGCTGACGCCGGAAAGCTCTGCGGGGCAGAGGACGGAACCGCCTCCGACGAGGATGACAGTGCATGGCTCGGGGGACAGCTTGGCGCGATCGATAACCGCCTCCAGCATTTTCCGAATCTTGGCCTTGCCTTTCTCGACAACGTCGGTCGTCAGAGACACGGAAGTGTTGCCGATCATGGCCCCAGACGCCACGGCGACATCAGTCGCGGTTGTCACATCGCCTCCAAAGCAGAGAGCCCTGGTAGCGAGGTCATGGCCAACGCTATCCGGTCCAACAGCCACCGAGCCGTCCTCGCCGTTGTGTAGGATCGATCCCCCTCCGAGGCCGATGCTCTCCACAGAGGGCATCTCCAGGTTGACCTTAACACCAGCCAAGGCTGTGTAGCTCTTGGACAGCCTGGGGTATCCGTTGTTGAGAAGATAGCCCACGTCAGAAGTTGTTCCGCCGATGTCGACCACGATGCTGCCAGATTTGTCGATGGAATCTCTGGCAAGGAACGCTGCGCCCCGGATGGAGTTTGTGGCACCGGACGAAAAGATCCTGATCGGGGCTTGCATGGCCTCGGAGAAGGGCAGCAGATGGCCTGCGTTGGAAGTGAGGTACAAAGGGCACTGGAGGCCGATGCGGCGCATGGCACCGATGAAGGCTCTGATGGTGCGCTGCGCAAAGTTGAGAATCGAGGCGTTGAGTATCGTCGCGTTCTCGCGGGCCAGGAGGCCCGGCCCGGCGATGTTGCGGGAGAGAACGATGTTGACATGCTCGCCCAGCTCGCTGCGCAGTATCTTCTCGACCTCGTCTTCCTGGCGGTAGTGCTTGTCGGTGTTGCAGCCGATACCGACGACTGCGACGTTCCCGAGGCCCTTGGTTTTGATCTGCTTCGCCTGCTCCCTGACGGCCTCTTCGTCGATCGGGCCGATGAGGGTGCCGTCAATGTTGCAGCCTCCGGGGATGATGGCCGAGTGGCCGTTGATGATGCGCTTCAGGGCCGAGGGCCAGTCGGCAAAGGGCGGGGTTCCGGTGGAGAAGTTGTGGGAGGCCAGGCGCAGGACGGCAACCTTTTCGACGCGAGACGTATCTCTTTCAACGATGGCGTTGAGGAAGTGTGTCGTGCCGATGGCGAGTGCGGTGATGCCGGCAGGGTCCACGGTTGACTTGTCGAGCAGCGCTCTCAATGTGGCCTGGACAGAGAGCGTCGCGCTGGATGTGGTCGACGCTTTGTGAGACGCGACGACGGCATCTATGCCAGACTTCGATACATCCAGCAGGACACTGTCGGTATTGGTACCTGGGAGTACAGTTGGCGTACAAAGCTTGACAGATGGGACGAACTCGCGGTCTTGATGGATGCTTACCTCCCACGTCAACCCCCACCACTAGTGTGCCGTCCGTCGTACTCATTCTTCGTGCAACCAAGTAAAGTGTTCGTGCGGGGTTTGAGGGGAATTGTGAGGATTGGCTTGCGCATTCAGCAGACTCTGCAAACTTCAACCCCCAGTGCACACAGCGTACGGCTCGACTAGACGTATACGGAGCAAGGACTTTATAGAGTACTCTTCAATCTCGATGATGGTGCAACGACAGCCCGTTTGCACAATAGCTGTGGCATAATCCAAGAAACAGTTATGAGGTGGGGATTCAAGTAGCAAACGAGTCCGGTTCCGTTCATCGGCCCCTCTCACCACTTTTTCCAGGGCAGCCAGGAATACATTACCCACGCAAACTGTCAATAGCCTATCAGTTAGGCACTTCCGTCTTGGTCCTGAGTATATCGCGATCGGGTATCACGAGCAGGTGATATTATTTCCATTCTACCTATTTACAATACTATACCCTAGTCACTCTATGTTCTGGAATGTAATCTAGGACAATCACCCTGGGTCTCGGCGAATACCGTATCCTCTCAGCAGATTCGTACACCGCACTGATCACGAGCTACTAGATAGGGGCTAGCGGGCTGGTAAATGCAGGGGTTATTCAACGTCAGCAGCAAGTTAGGTGGCAAGGGTTAGGGTTAGGGTTAGGTGGGTGGGTGGCTAGGCTGGCTGACCGTCTTGGGGTTAGGGGTGGTCTGTGCGGTGTGCGAATCCACTGAGAGGATACGGTAGTCGCCGAACCTCCAGCGAGCTACAGGTATATTGTACTACTTAGCAGTACCTCGAGTGCTCGCTGGAGGCCGCTAGGCTTGGCTCGTGGCCCCAAGTAACAGCATATCATCAGATTAGTCATCTGGTCTCTTGGTTCTCGTGCGGTCACGTGCAACCGTGTCTCGTTCTCATGAACAGGCGAATCGAATCGCGTAGTCACCAGGGCGCGTCTTTGTTCATGTTGAGGCCCAACCTCACCCTCTATCTTCCATCACCTCCGCCCGAGCGGTAAACAGCAGAGGTGTGATGAGCCGCAGCGTCTTGTCATATGAGAGAAAAGTGGTTGTCCTATTAAGAAACTACGTATGAACCGGAGAAGTGGTAGAAATACCTTTTCTACCCGGTCCGTGCGGGTGGTACGCCACATCTGTGGCAGCGCTGCTGGCACTAGCCACACGAAGCCATTCCAGCTTCACGACAAGAGGCTAATAGTCTAGAATGCGGTTGCTTTGGCTATGACTCACCTTCTAAATCGTCACATGTTCCATACTGCATATGTATCATGCACTGCAACGTATTATGTTGCGAACTTGTGCAACTAATTATTAACAACCTATAAAGTATTGGAAGATGGTGTAAGCAGGCCTTCAATATCCTTCTATGCCATTCTATGAGTAATCCCTGTCTATAACCGTCTCCGTTCTGCATCTGTTCCTTACCTTGTCTTTCATAGTTAATATAAGATTAGATTTAGGTTATTATTGCGCAAAAACAACACCATCAGTTATAGCAGCACAACTAACGCCTTATATTACCTCATTGTGACAGTTATCAAACGGGCGTAATCCCCCTCACCCTCACGGTTTCATTGCCTGTACTGAGGACAATCGGAACTCCGTTAAAACAGGGCAAGTTTACCTGTTTCAGAGGATAAATCATTTAGAAACACACACATGACAACACAACCAAGCATATCAGAAAAACACGTTTGAGAAGTAGCAAAATGAGCAGCAGCAGTCAGAAAAGTAACGAAAGGGGGGGCTGGGGGTGGATGACTACAGAGTACGATTTGTTTTTAGTGACCCTGTTTCAATGAAGAAGAAGAAAATCAAGACGGTCTGGGAGGATGTCTAGTAGTACGTTCAATGTTAGATGATGTTCAAAAGCCCTGGAAAATGCTTCGCTTTATACTTATCTTGCCAAAGGAGGCGAAATTATAGTCGCTTATAGCAATAATGAACCGGCCGAGGCCTCTCCTTTCCCAACACCCAATCGAGAGGCATTACGCAGCCCAGTAAAACCCAACTAGGCAACCATCTTTCTGCTCATCAACTCGCTGAAGCGCTCACTCACTTTTGTTGCATTCGATGGTCTTTGTTGGCTATGCTCACTCAGCAACCTGTCGGGCTTGACTCCACGATGGTGTTGTCGGTCTTGAAGAGGCTCGGGCCCTGACGCAGAATTTGATCAGCTTTCATTGATTTTCCATGCCGAGACCCATTTCTCTAGAAATAGACGAACGATGGGGACAGTGAATGCCAATCTTGGCTTACTCAGGCGCAGCATGGGTGTCCGGGGAGGGCGGGCGGGCGGGCGCGCTCGGGACAGGCCCTTGCCGCGAGGAACGGCGCTCTTAGTCGCCGGCTCTGTTTTCACATTCAGTCTACAGCCGGCAGCACTATATCGTGTGAAGACTTAAAAAGCAGTTTGATTTCCGCCTCTGTGACACTATTCAGAACACAGCTCTCATCATCAGCTCTGCCTCAAGCTTCAACCCGGTAGCCAATCTCTCTTCTTCGTGTCACCCACATCATCAACCAGTGAGGGCATACACACTTACACATACACCCAAATCAAATATCTTCGCTTTGAGCATAAATTCCAGCGCAAATCTCGCCCAGTAGGAAACCAAGTTGAGTACATCTCACCAATCATAGCTGGTGTAGACTGTGCATTCCCTAGACTTAAGATTTTTGACCAGGAGTCCTTGTCGCTCTTAGACAATTATGGGAATTGAACCTATGGTGTTTGATATTTAAGCTGCTTCTGCATTTTGCTTCAAGTAGAGTTAGCTTCTTGGGCCAAAGAGAACACATCTTCAAGGTCAGACCATAAATAGATTGCCAGAACTTCTAGAAACCAACGGTCCCATATCGGCGTGATTGTCGATGCTCTTCTTACTTGGCGGACTTGAAGCTGAACACGACTTAGGTCCGGTAGATACTGACATTGTACATAACACAAAGTGACAAGTCTCGCCATTAAGTAATCTGCCAGATTCATAGAAATGAGCAGTCCCGACTTGGCGGACTTAAAAGCTAGATCCGACTTAGGTCCGGTAGCCGTTGATGTCATACAGAACATAGAGCGACAAGTATTTGGCTTACCCTTCACTCCTCACAGTCGTGAAAAAGAAAAGAAGAAAAAAGGTATAAAACAAAAGGAAGAATCCATTGTTCACGATTTGCCAAGTCACTGGCTTATTTAACATGGAATTGAACAATGTTCATCGGAACTGAAGAAACATACGATCTCCTTACCGAGACTTTGAGCCCAGCCAGTTTGGAATAGTCCTTTCTACTCTGGTGTATAGTAGACCTCTCTTGTGACGGAACCTCGCATGCGGCGAACACATCTGACAGCCTGTCTTCCCCGCTATAACTACACAGCTTGCACCATGGCTGATCAATATACCAAGAATTACTGTAATATCCAAGAACGAGCGCGATCGACATAGTTCTCACTCGGAGGCCGACGGCCCCAATTTTGGCCCGCGCCACTGGCGGCTGCAGGATATTGGCCGCTGTGTCCCAGATCTCAGGGGGATAGACACTCTCGATTGACATTCCTTGTTCCGAGGGTAGCACCCAGAATCCCGGTGGAAGTGGAATCAAGTTGGATTGGGCGATGTAAACCTCCTTCAACTTCCAGTCTTTGTAGGAGATGCCTGCTGAACAGTCAGTCGGTGCCCATACAACCGGCCCACGGAATTATGGTTTTACTAACGAGAGTCGAGTTCAACGAGCTCTTTTTGTTCTTCCGTTGGGTCAAATCCTTCAATCAGAACCTCTCCGTTCAAACCACAGCGGGCGAAGCGAAATATATGGGTATGGTTCAGGCGGATGAACCTATTCTTGGCGATTCTTCTCAAATCGATGCCGGCAAAGACACCAGGTGTACTGCCGATTTGGCAATCCAACACAGCCATAAAATCATCATTTGATACACTCTGACCCATTAGCAAGTGTACTCTGGTGCCGTGTCTGGTGACGACAGTGTGCGGCCGCGATGGCTGAGGCCGAGCAAACATGGCCACTGAAGCAGACCTCTCGAACTGACTCGGAGACTCAGCTATAATGCCATAACCGGATAAAATCAGGTCAAAGTCTTTCCAGATATTCTTGTTATGAACTTTAGGCTTGGATCCTGCCCAAGCGAAGATGGACTGGTCCTCGGTTGTATTGATGATTTCTTCTTGAAGCCGGATGAAAGCTTTTGTACCTTCGCCGTAAAGTAGCGGCATGTTGATGTCAAAGATTCCGAGCATGCAGTAAGCCATGTCCTCGATCCGGGTGGTTTCTCTTCTGGCCAGCCACTTGAACCGCCTGGCAACGCTCATCCGCGAAAGGTCTCCCCCTTTGAGGGCATAGATATCTATACCCGTTATTGTTGAAATGGCATCGAGGTGATCCTCTTTGCTTCCCACGTCGGTCCAATCTCTCCTCAAGAAACGTACTTGCGCAGGCGCGATAACTTCCTGTAATGTCCAGCCTCGTGAGTACCACCGTGAGACGGCTGAAGGCCAGTCGTCTTCTATGTAGACTGGCTGTGTCCCGGTGGCGTCTGAGAGATAGACGTAGCAGACATCCGAGTCTCGGTACCACTGAAACATGGAGTTGATGGCCTCGGACAGCTCTGCCGAGCTGGTCTTGTCGATGCAACAAGTGTCGATCCAGATCCAGTCATAGCCATCCTGGCGGGCGCGTTCACAACTTTTTAGAATCTTGGCATAGCCTTTCTTTCTCTTGGTCGAATCCATTCTGCCTTGCCAGTCTTGAAAGGAAACTTCCTCCTCCTCCCACGTATGAGACAGAATTGCATAACGAGGGACAGTATATTCGGGTACTGCATCACGTCCCTCGCGGACTAGAACTGCATCGCTCCTGCGCCCAATGAATTCCTCTATCTTCAACTTTGTCGTGTGGAGAAGCCTCATCCTAGATGTCTAGTCATTGTTAGTAAGAAGACCATCCGAAAGGGAACATGTCATTATACGTACACGGGCGCCTTGGCCGCTAGCAAAGGAGCAGAATAAACAATGATCGGTCCAGACCTCTGACGAAACAACTAAAGAGAATACGGGTTTATGAATGGTTTCCCTAGTGCGGGGAAGGAGCCAATAGGTGATGTCCAACCAAAATGTCTTGGCCACTCGTCATGCTTGCATGCTCTTCTCAGCTCGCCCATCTCAGTGACAATTCAACTTGCGCAAGACCAACCACGTTCGGGCGAATCTAGGGGTAAAGAGACAGAAGTTAAACAACGAGGTGCAAGGCCACTTCTGCAGTTCAGCTGCGATAACAACCGTCGCTGCCGGATCTCGCGATCCGGGAAGCAGAGCATGAAGCCGCCATAGAATCTTGCGGTACACTCCGTCGACCCGAAGGCGAACTACTGGATGCCTTCAATAAAGCGCTGCAAGGCGTCTAAGTCTAGCCGTTCTGGGATACAGACATCAGCAACTCTCTTGGATGTCTATTCACGCTGCTTTCAGCCTAGCGACCAATTCTCCCTGTCCGACGTAATACCGGTCACCCTCAATCTGCGATGACTTTTCTTTACAGCCAGAAAGACCACACCGCTACCCCAGAGGCTAAAGTACAGCTCAGGTCCCTGTCGGAGCCGCCCGAGTGGGAGTCATCGCGTACGGGAAAAGGACTGCTGAGCCTGCTATCAACGGAATCAGCAACTCCATCGTTACCTTCCCACCGGAACTTCGACGTGACAGGCCAGATCCCACCTCCGGGTGCGACAGCTCGTCTTACCGCAAAACTCTAGGAAGATGAAGGAATCTTGTGCTTTCTAGTGAAGGAACGAGGCGTGTATGTTGCGCGCAGAGAGGACAACCGGATGATCAATGGAACGAAACTCCTCGACATCACCGGTATGAGTCGGAGAAGACGTGATGGACTTCTCAATTCTGAAAAGATTAGGCACGTTGTCAACATTGGTCCCATGCACCTCAAAGGTACCTGGATTCCGTTCGAAAGAGCGCTTGATCTTGCAAACAAAGAAAGGATCACGGAACTTCTCTATCCGCTTTTCGTCTGCAACAGTGAACGGCAAGAGATACAGAGTGGTCAAACTCAATTGCTTGACGAGAGCCTCTTTATGATAACCCCGAGGGAGTCTCAAGAATTTAGAACAAGCCGCTGTCCTGCTCCACGCGAATTCGGGGCGTCAACGTCTCAAGATGATAGCGGGCCTTAATGTATACAAGCGAACCCTACGTATCAACATCTCACTATAACAACCTGCCTTTCGGAAGCAAATACGTTCTGTCTTTTGGAGGGGGGTATGGCATGCTTGATGGAAGGGGATCATATAGAGTCACTTTCGCGAGGCCCCCCCGACTCGCCAGAATTGCCCACTGCCGGTGTTGACAGCTCAGTGCTCAACACTTCTTCAGGCAACAATGCCTCCTTCCAAAGCGACAAGAAGGAGAATTGTCGAACTACTCGACAACTGTCGATTGAGTCGAATAGATCCCTAGGAACACAGGATTCTTCTTCGATCTACTCATGCTCGTCTGAACATGGAGGGTCTGCCGTGGGGACCAAAGGCCTTTCAAAGTGTCGAAGTCGAATAGCCATCCCAACAAAGTCAATTTCAGGTTGGCCTGTCCTTTCTTCAAGAAGAATCCCGGAAAGCACCAACGTGGAGCTTGCACCGGACCCGGCTGGGCGACGGTCCATCGAATCAAGTACGCACTCCGAGCTCTACCCTGGTGAATCCAGAAACTGACACAGCTAGGGAGCATGTTTACCGCAGCCATGCGTTACCCATCACATGCCCAAGGTGTAATGAAGAATTCGCAAACGATCGACCCAAAGACTCGCATAGCAGAGCAACTGGGCAGTGCGAGGTGAAGGATCAGACCCCAGTTGCCACTATAGTTATAGCCTTAAGTTTATAGCCTTTTAACTAATGTATTTATTATCTAAATTACTACTTCAGAGTAGGGAAATCTATTCAGCCAATGACAGCAACATTCGCCCTACTTTTGCTTATTACTAATTACTACACTTTAACAGGGGTGCATAGGATGTAGGGTAGAGTGGTTGGTTTTTTTGTCATTAACCTACTTTAGGATACTCAACAGGTCCAATTCATAGCGTAAGACACACTCTTAGACCAACTAAGGAAAAGGGGATATCCTTTATGTAACCGGATTAGAGCAAGGTCTAATCAAAGAAGACAACAAACAAGCGGTTTATTACAAACGTTTCTATCGATGAAACGGCCTCTTGACTTAGGATAATTCACGTATTTGCATTTGGCTGCATTTTAAACCCCACATAGCATGACTATGCCTTTAAAAAAAAGGAACCGTCTCAAAAAGGCCTTGAATAGGTGAAGTCGAACTTGGTCTGCAAACCTGTTCGATCAGCCATGCTTCGACTGACAGTCTGGTCACGTTGGGCGCAGACTTCTGGTGCCGAGACACGCATGGATCCGACGGCTCTAGCGCCCTTGACCAAGATCGAGGTGTGCGGCTGCTGCTTCGTCGCGTACGCCTTGAAAGCCTCAGTAAGTGTTGGCGTGGGGAGCCCTATTGCTGCGTCAAAGTTGGGGATCTCTTTCGTGAGATAGTAGCAGTCCTCGCTTTGTATCTTGTGAGTCTGAAACGTCCCCTCGTTCTGGTCTATCCATCCAAGGGTAACTCACCAAGCCTGGTTGGCGCCCTGTCCGAGATGAACACTTGTCGGGTGGACCGCATCGCCAACCATGACGCATCTACCAGAGTACCACTGCTTCGGCTCGAGCTCGGGACGGTCATAGATACCATACTTGATCAGGCGCTCTGCGGAGTTCACCAGTTGCAATACGACTGGGTCCCAGCCCTTGGCCTGCAGCATCCCGACCATTTTTTCCTTCTCGGCCGCTCTCCTCTCGTCGCTGAAGAGTCCCCAGGCGGCCTCCTCCTCGGGGTTATCGGGCAAAGTCAAACCCCAGGACGTTTTGCAGTGAGTGATTGGGTAACAAACGACGTGGCTCAGCTCCCCGTACCAGTTCCTCGCCGCGGGATTGTTGCTAAAAGCCTCAGGCGTGGGCGAGATACCTGAAATCTTTCTGCATGGTTAATATTGTCGATGATGCAAAGAGACACCCAAAAGAAAGACTGCTCACCTGAGTCAGTCCGGTAAAGGACGGCGTCTCTTGAAAACCTCCGCGAGCCAACAGCAACCTCCTCGTCGCCGCCTTTAGCCCATCTGCCCCGACCAGGAAAGCTCCAGTCTCAGAATTGCCATCCTCGAAGAAAGCAGTCACGGAATTCTCAGTCTCTTGGATCCGCTCCAGCTTCCAGCCTTGTCTCACCTCAACACCGTTTTCAATGGCCAGGCCCCGCAGCCAGGACGTAATGAGCGTCCGCTTGACGCCAACGGCCGGCTGCCCGTATCGCTTAGAAAACTCCGCGGGGATGTCGGAGCGACCGAGAACTTCACCCGAAGCCTTGCAGTCGCACAGCTCTAGGATAGGCGGGCCGTTTTGAAGGAGCATGTCGGGTATAGGGCCGATGAGATTAAGGACCTTCAGTCCATTAGGGCATATCATCAGGGATGCACCGACGTCGCCCGGCGCCTCGGATCTTTCAAAGATGATGGGTTCGTAGCCCTTCTGCTTCAGAAGGCAGGCGACCACTGGACCGGCGATGCCGCAGCCAATGACAAGAACTTTGGACGAAAACATATAGATAGTGTAACCAAGCATATGCCCGCTTGATGTTTGGTATTCGGTATGACAATAGCGGGTGGAGGAATGTTCTCGTGATGCCCTTTTCTGGATAACAGTTGCGGTCCGTAGATTCTCCGTAAGACAACGTTCTGGTCAGTTTCCTTATCGGACACTCTAGGGCCAGGGGGCGCTTGTTAGAAGACTATGTATGACATCTGACTCGTACTACAGTGACGACCCCGAAGCCCCGTGTAGACCTACTAGGGGTACCACTGACGCTAAGCTTTCTAGGGTTCTTGTTTGTATGTCACATTATCAGAAGTTCAGACGAGACCGGTGAGAGAGTTCTCTGCATTGGTCTAAGCCACATCCGCATGGCCAAACCGAGACAGATCTAGATCGTGCGCCGGTTAGTTGCGAGTGCGAGTCGGAAATGGCCCCATAGATTAGATATATTGGAATTCGGTTCCAGCAAGTCGTATAACTCTATAGAGAGATCAGACAAGCCGATATTGTCCCCCCCTGTCAACCCAAGAGTACCGTGCACAATAACAGCAATAAACTTCAGCAGACAGTGGATTCAGGTGATAACACAACTATCTTAGAGGCAAAAGGGATAGTCTTAGCCCATACCGATCCAGAGCACAGCATAGGAAGCAGGGTGGGTTAGTACCATTCCAACCCTCCCTGGCGGAGCCGTTTCAGAATAAAAAAAAAAAATCCAAGAAAACTAGATTTAAACCTGCAGCCTTTAGGATATGAGGTTTATTGCTGTTATTGTGCACGGTACTCTCGGGTTGACAGGAGGGAGACAATATCAGCTTGTCTGTAGACTCAGTCGTATATCACTTAATCTATTACACGCATAAATCAGACATTAAATGCTGCAGTTGCAGTTCTGACTCCATACTTGACGCTAGTAACATAATTCAACGTACCAACTTACTGACCAACCCTATTTTCCAACCACCCAAAAATAACTCATCACTACTACTATCCTCTAACTTTAAGATGTTACTCCTTTTACTGAATTCTTCCAAACTGCTTTATTTTCCCAGCGGCTGAGTTGTCGTTACGTACCTTTTGACGTGTTGGCTCAATTGGTAGTCCCTCTGCGTTACGTATAGACTATAGACTGAAAGCTAAGATGTTATTGGTTGCAGCACTAACGCCTTAGTCACTATTGCTTATCCTTCAAGCATGGACTTGTCAACAAGACATATGAGTTTCGTGCCTGAAACCCGACCAGCTCTCAGCTCTCCCAAGCCTTTGTCAATGTCGTGGAGAGTTTCGCCAATGATACGATACGGAAGCGGCTTGACCACCCCATCCCTCACCAGCCCGGCAACCTCCCTGGTCCAAGTCCCTGCATAGTCGCGGTGGGCCGGGGAGGGCTCGAATTCGTACGGGGCGACCCAGTCAATAGCGGATCCGAATGCCTTCATTGCAAAGACCCAGGAGGGTCGGACCGACCGCCGCGAATGGCCCGCTACCGGGAACCTGTCGAGCGCGACGTAGCGCCCCCCCGCCGCACCCAGAGCGTCGTAGCAGATTCTCATGGTGTCTGCCGTGATGATGCAGTCTGCTGCGTACGCGAGCTGGTCCCGAGTAAACTTGCGTATGTCGGAGGCGCATGTTGGCGATTTGTAGTCAAAGGCCGCTTCGGCTCCTGTCGCTTTGACGAGTTCGTAGTTATGCGGTGAGCAGGTGACTACCGGTATGAAACCGTAACTAAGTGATCAGTCCCAATCCGTTTGGCTAGGCTCAGTGTATCTTACTGTCTCAGTAATTGGGTCAGGAAGAGGCCAGATGCGGTGCTGCCGCCGTATATCAAAACATGTCGACCCCCATTGGGAGGCGTGGTTTGGAGCTTCATCTCCATGTTGAGAACAAAACCGCCGGTGAGAACGCCGCAGGGCAATGTTGCAGCCTCTTTGAAAGACATGCCGCTGGGTATGTGAAAGATCACGTGCTCATCGGCCAATACATACTCAGCAAAGGCGCCTGTGGCTCCATCGTTATTGTTGTATCCAAAGGCCACTCCGCACACTCGGTCTCCAGGTCGTATGTCTGAAGACACATCTGCGCCTTTTGACACGACAATGCCAGCAAAGTCGAGACCACCAATTGAGCCTCGTGGGATGCCGGCTTCGATCAGCTTGTTATCTAACGGGTTCAAGCCAACACATGCCGTTTTAACAAGAACATTTGTTGGTGACAAGTTGGGTGTAGGAACAGAAACCACCTTTGCCGTCCCGCATCCTTGGACGACTATTGCATTCCTCGATTCCGAAGGGAGTGCCATTGAACTGGATGGTAGGTGGTTGAATGTGTATATATGATTACTGGAGTGAGGAATGATTTTTATGAGTATCGATGTAGACCAAGGCAAACTAACACGACTTGCTCCTCCTATTCTATATCGCGGAGAAGAATCCCCTCGGGAGGTCTGTGAGATTCGAATAACGCTCCACTGTCTCGCCTGAATCAGCCATGACTCAGTTGCGGTCAGTCCCTCGCAACCGCAAGACGACTTAGACGGGTAGCGGTTATGATTACTCCATAATGCACTGCGCTTCTGTTTAGCTAGCGAGTCTAACGGAGTCTCTTTTCCTAAGGTTTCCTCCTATCAGCCATCAAGAAATAACGCAAATGTAACGTTAGGGAATTGGAGTTCAAATTGATTTACAATAGATGGTTTCAAGTTATGACCCACGTACGTTAAGACTCTCACTGGCCAGATTCGTGCTAGATATGCACGAGAATCCCAAAGTACCCTTGAGATTCGCAAAGAACGACGGTCACAGTTACCTGACATAGAGGCTTGCTTTTGACTTCTACCAACGAATTGTACATACAATGCCAATGCCACGAAAGCACACTTGATAACACAACAATACATACCTACTTATCTTATTGAAATGAGACAAGTTCAAGACGGGGGGGAGGGGAGACAACTAAGACTATATTAAGATAACAGCCACCTCCCCTTGCTTTGACCTTCTGTGATGACAAAAGCGGATCTGTAATTGCCACTGCGCAATTACGGCTTATATCACGACACCTTTCATATATAAAAAGACGTAAGGTCGGATAAACTCAATGTTGCATTGTATGCTGATGCGAAAACCGACATATATAGTTCTGAACAAGATACATCATTAACTACAACACCGTCAGCCAGAGTCTACAGCTGCTATTACTTCTGCGTCTACGGCTACCTGAGTTTCGCAAGCAGCTTAGGAAAAAATAGTTGAGCTTTTATGGGGTAATGCTCTGGCAAGTATAAGCCTATGGCCACTACATAGCGAAACTGACGAACGTGATTAGATACATCGATCTGGCTAAGTCGTAAAACTGTTCACAAAGTATTCGACTTCCACGAGGTGTTCGTGCACGCAATACAGCAGTCTTATAACCAGACATGTGAATGCAATTTCCAAGAACATGCACTGTATATAAGCTTACTTGCACAGATAATAGACCATGGAGCCCGTTGCAATCATTGGGCTGGCGCATCGCTTCCCAGGAGGTGCCAACACACCCGCCAAGCTCTGGGAGGTACTGAACAGCAGACGAGACCTATCTGGAGAACCAGATCCAGGTCGTCTCAACCTTGAAAAGTTCTACAACCCGAACGGCGAGCACCACGGCAAGTCAAACGTTACCAAATCTTATTTCCTCAAGGAGGACCCTCGGCTCTTTGACACGACCTTCTTCAATGTCAGTCCTCTGGAGGCGGAGGCCATGGACCCGCAGCAGAGACTTCTCCTGGAAACAGTCTACGAAGCCGCCGAATCCGCCGGCACGCCCATTGAAAAGTTGCGGGGCTCGCGGTGTTCGGTGTTCGTTGGCGTGATGACGGCCGACTACGAGACGATCCAGTACCGCGACACGGAAGACCTGTCGCAATACGCTGCATCGGGCACATCGCGCGCCATCCTGGCTAACCGAATTTCATACTTCTTCGACCTTTCCGGGTCGTCGATTTGTCTCGACACGGCTTGCTCGTCATCCCTCGTCGCAATGCACCTCGCGGTCCAGGACCTCCGCAGCGGCACAGCAGAGACCGCCATCGTCGCGGGCGCCAACCTCATCTTTGGGCCTGACATGTACATCAGCGAGTCGAAACTGAGAATGCTTTCGCCGACGGGGAAGTGCCAGATGTGGGATGCCATGGCAGACGGCTATGCCAGAGGAGAGGGCGTGGCGGCGCTGCTGCTCAAGCCTTTGAGCAAGGCTCTGAGGGACAATGATCCCGTCCAAGCCGTTATTCGCCATTCGGGTGTCAACTCTGACGGCCGAACGCCGGGGATCACGATGCCCAGCGCCATGGCACAGGCTGAACTGACGAGGGAGACGTATCGAGCCGCAGGGCTGGATCCGTCAAAGGTCGAAGACAGGTGTCAATACTTTGAGGCGTAGGTGCTGACTCGTTCCAAGGGAAAGTTCCGTGTCACTAACACGTCCAATAGACATGGCACAGGGACCCAAGCTGGTGATCCCGCGGAAGCCAAAGGCATTTTCGAGAGCTTCTTTCCAGCCGAGGTTGCCACGGACGCACAGGTGAGCTCCCTCTATGTGGGGTCAATCAAGACAGTTGTTGGCCATCTGGAAGGCTGCGCCGGTCTGGCGGGTGTCATCAAAGTGCTTCTCGCAATGAAGCACAACACGATACCTCCGAATCTGCACCTAAGATCTTTGAACGAAAAGATTCAGCCCTACCGGCACGCTCTCAAAGTTCCCACAAAGCCTACCCCCTGGCCCATGAGGATGAATGGGCAGCCCAAGCGTGCAAGTGTGAACAGCTTCGGATTTGGAGGAACAAACGCACATGTCATTCTAGAATCCTATGAGCCGAAGTCAGAATTCCAGCCTCTGGCAGATGGAAGTCTCTCCCGTGAACATTTCACCCTGCCGATTGTCGTCAGCGCTCACTCCCAAACCTCCTTACTCGAAAACATCCGACAACTAGCCACATACATTCACGAAACCCCGACTGTGAGCCTCGATGACCTAGCATGGAGCCTGTGGGAGCGTAGGAGCAGACTCGGCTTCCGAAAGTCATTTCATGCGACGTCAAGAACGGAACTTTTGGTAACCCTCGAGAAAGCCATCGCAGATTCCGCTGGCGCGCAGCCTTCTCTGGGAACGCCAGCCGCAGCCCTCGTTTCCCCTACCGAGGGTCTTGGAGTCTTGGGGATTTTCACTGGACAAGGTGCACAATGGCCTGGCATGGGCAAGGATTTGCTAACGCACAGCCCTGTGTTCAGAGCAGCCATTGAGGAGTGCGACGAATCCCTGTCAAAACTTCCAAATGCTCCGTCATGGTCTCTCAAACAAGAGCTGCTCGCCGACCCAGCACAAAGCCGGGTCTCCGAGGCCGAGATCGCACAGCCTGCGACCACGGCGGTGGAGATTGGCTTGGCCATGATGCTACAAACCAGCGGAGTTGAGTTCAGCGCCGTCGTCGGCCACTCGTCGGGCGAAATCGCTGCGCTCTACGCCGCCGGCATCCTCTCCTTGTCCGACGCCATCCGCGTCGCCTTTTACCGAGGTCTCTACGCCAATCTAGCAGGCAAGGGCTCCATGATGGCAGTGGGAATCAGCGGCAAGGCTGCAGAAGACTTTTGCCGCGAAGAAACGTTCAAAGGCAGGATCTGCCTAGCGGCGAAGAACTCTCCCTCTAGCGTCACCATCTCCGGCGACGTTGACGCAATCCAAGAGGCCAAGGAGGTTTTCGATAGCAGGAAGATATTCGCTCGCCTGCTCAAGACCGACAAGGCTTATCACTCCCCGCGCATGGAGGCGTGCTCCGAGGCCTACCTGACGGCTCTGCGGGAATGCGGAATCTCACCCCTGCAAACGACAAAGAAATGCGTGTGGATTTCAAGCGTGGACGGAACGGCGGATCGTTACTGGGAGCGAAACCTCAATGATCTCAGCGGGCCGTACTGGATCGACAACATGGTGAAGCCTGTTCTCTTTTCAGATGCAGTCACGACGGCGTTGACCAACGGCGGGCCGTTCGACGTCGCTATCGAGGTTGGACCACATCCCGCATTGAAAGGACCCGTGAACCAGATTGTAAGGCCACATCTGGGAAAGCAGCTCCCGTACTGTGGAAGTATGAACCGAGACGAGGACTGCGTGGTCAGTATGATGCAGCTGCAGGGGTTCTTGTGGTCTCACTTCAACGGAAACGCGCTTGCACTCGATGGGTACGAACGCTGCTGGCATGATGTAGTTCCCACGCACAAGATAGTCGACGGCCTACCCCCTTACTCCTGGGACCATGACGCGCCCATTTGGCGTGAATCGAGGATCTCTAGCAACTATCGACTACGCTCTAGCGAAAACGAGAGCATCCTGCTTGGCCGTCGGTGCCCCGATGACTCGGACTGGGAACCGCGTTGGCGCAACTTCCTGAGTCTCAAGGAGCTGCCGTGGCTTCGTGGCCATTCGTACCAGGGAGAGGTGCTGTTTCCCATGGTTGGCTACGTGGTCATGATGCTCGAGGTGGCGCAGCTCCTCAGCAGCGGCAAGCCCATGGTGCTAATCGAGATCAAGGACCTCAACCTCGAGCGACCAGTCAAGGTGGAAGAGGGGCCAAGACTTGTCGAGATATTGTCATCGGCCCGAGTGACGCACAAGGACGAAATGAAGATTGAGGCCGAGTTCTCATCTTACGTGTGCTCGGATGCAAGTACAGGCAAGGTAGACCAGACCTGTCGTGGAAGCATCTCGGTGTCGTTTGGTGGCATCGATAACGATATCTTCCCGCCACGAGCTGATCCGTTGGCCACAACGGTGCCGCCCGTCGAGGTTGAGCGATTTTACAACTCATTGAGGGAAATTCGGCTGGAATATGGAGATCTGTTCAAGCGTCTCAACTCGTTACGCCGTGTCGATGGCATCGCCACCGCAACAGCGTCCTGGTTCGTTGACGAGATTGAATTCGGTAATCTATACCACCCTGCAATGATGGACAACGCACTGCAACCGGTGAGAATAAACCCTTCCTTTCTTTCCAAACGGAAAGCCTTTTTATGATATACTAATTTGATAATGCAGGTATTTGCTGCCTTCAACGCCCCTACGGCCGAGAGACTCTGGACAGCGTACCTCCCTCAGAGCTTGGAGAGGATCACTGTCGACCCGAGGCACCGTCTTGTCCCATCTTCCGGCGGCCAAATCGAAATTCTCATCGACGCCTTTTCCACGGAGTTGTCTGCAACCAAGATCGGTGGTGATGTCAGCGTCTACTCACCCCACAGTGACTCCAAGACGCCGTTTCTCCAGATCGAGGGGATGACGTTAGCAGCTCTCAGAAGACCAGACGCCTCAAACGACCGTATCCTTTTCGCAGAGACAAAATGGGAAGCAGATCTCCTGGGGGGCGCCGAGTTTGAAACTGATTACAACCCGCCGCAAGATGTTGCCGTTGAAGAGTCTGAGCGCGTTGCCCTGTTCTTCTGCCGCAAGCTATTGGCGGAGGCGAGCGAGGTGGGAGCCGAGAACCTGAAGGCTCATGAAAAGATGATGTTTGAGCAACTCACAACCCTCGCCAACACTGTCGAGAAGGGATCCCACAGCCACTGGGCGAAGGACACGAGAGAGACGATCGATGCCATTCTTGAGAGGAACCGGGACCAAGTTGACTTTGAGCTTCTTCGAATGGTGGGGGATGAAGCCGGCAGCGTGTTCCGCAACGAGAAGCAGATGGTCCACGTCCTCTTCGCCGACGACAAACTCAGCCATTTCTACCGCAAAGGTCTGGGTCTTCGCAACACCCAGCGTCAAGTTGCGGCCTACATGAGCGCCATATCGCACCGGTATCCGAAGGCGAACATCCTCGAGCTCGGGGCCGGAACTGGTGCCACGACCTCGGCCGTCTTCGACACCATCGGCGACCGCTTCGGTTCTTACACCTTCACCGACGTGTCGTTCGCGTTCTTCCCCAAGGCCCAGAAACTGTTTGCGAATCACCTACACAAGATGTCTTTCAAAAGACTGGACATTGGGACGCCGTTCGACGAGCAGGGTTTCGATGTCCCGTCGTACGACGTCGTCATCGCTGCGAACGTCCTGCACGTGTCGGACGACATTGAAGCTGTGCTTCGTCGCGTCAGGGGGCTGCTCAAGCCAGGCGGCTTCCTCGTCGTAGTCGAGCCGACGTCAGACGACCTCAGAATCCAAGTCATCATGGGCGGCCTGGAGGGTTGGTGGCTCGCACGCGACAATTGCCGACGGTTCGGACCGGTCGCCAGCATCGAGACCTGGGACGAAAAGCTCCGCAACGTTGGCTTCACAGGCGTCGAAAAGTTCAAGAATGATCAGAAGGAGGATCATCTGCACACGTTTACCACATTCGTCAGCCAAGCCACTGATCGCACGATCGATGCCCTTCGGGAGCCACTCGAAAACTCCCACATGGTACCCGGTTTCGTTCCGTTCACCCTCGTTGGCGGCTCTACATTTCCCATGTCGAAGCTTGTTCGCTCCGCCAGAGACAAACTCAGGGCTTTGGGGAACGACGTTGTTCATTTCCCTGACTTTCGGAGTGTGCAGTCTGCCAATGTACCCGCAAGCTCTATGGTTCTCTGCCTCTCTGAGATGGACCAGCCAACCTTCAAGAGCGAGGTCGACGATGCGGTTTTGTCTGGATTCCAAAGCATTATCCAGAAGGCTCGGGGGGTATTAATCTTCACGAGAAACGCGGCAACGTCTAACCCTTATTCAAACATGTTGGTTGGCTTGTGCCGCGGACTGCGCGCCGAGAAACCTCGCCTGGGAAGGTTCATCCAGATCATGGACATTGACGGAGATACCAAGCTTGACGCCAACACAGTACTGCAGTATTTTCTTCAGCTGGTGATGGCTGCCACTCAAGACACGGGGTCAGACGAGAGACTCTGGTCTTTGGAGACCGAGCTCTGCCTAAAGAAGAATGAACTCTTCGTTCCACGGATCAAGGAGTACCAAGATGCCAACGAGCGCACCAATTCGGCCAGAAGACGAATCGCCAAGGACGTGACATCGGAAACCCACATAATCGAGGTCACCCAAGCAGAAAAGTCAATCGCAGTGAGGGCTGGTTTCAAGCTCGTTCAAGACAGGCCTGGACTGGACCCGGTTGAGAACGCTTTCTCCTGCTTGACACCCATCAATCTGCTGCCTTTCGAAGCGCCCCAATATCTCTGCGTTGGCACACGCCAGGGAAGCTCCGAGGCTGTCATCGCATTGTCTCCTGAAAACTCGTCGGTGTTCCAAGTTTCAGGCGACCGAGTTCTCTCCGCGAGCGTCGCCCCCCATGCGGTTGCACTCCTGTCCGCCGTGTTGGCCGCACAGGCTTGGCTACGGTCAGTGCCTCGAGGCTACGCTATATGGCTACACGGGGTGAGCGATATGGAAAGAAGCGTTCTGGAATTCGAGGCGAAGAAGAACGGAGTCACGGTATTTGCAAGCTCCCCCAATGACGCGACCCGTGATGGCTTCATCCCGCCGCGGGCCCCAACGCGCATGCTCAAGGCGCTCGTGCCCCGCAAGGCTGCAGCGATTGTGTTCGGAGACTCAGTCAGTGACGAAGAGGCGTCCGAAGTCCTCTCCAGGGTGTCGTTGTTTCTTTTGGTGCGCAAGCCCTCTGGTGGACGTTTCTGGCATTGCCCTGCAACCCAGCCCGAAAGACCGATTTCTCAGCTTCTCGAAACTGCGTACGCGTCCACGATTGAGTTGAACGGGCTGTCCAAAGATCAGACAGATATTGTGAAGATCGGTGACTTGGGTAGAATCGCCGTGAACGCATCCACGACCGTCATCGACTGGAGGCAGGCTCAAAGTGTCCCGATCCGGGCGGATCTACAACCCATCAAGCCCGAGCAGCTCTTCAAGTTCGACAAGACCTACTTCATGGTGGGTCTCACCGGCGACGTCGGTGTCTCCATATGCCGGTGGATGATCAAGCACGGCGTCCGATATGCCGTGCTGGCAAGTAGGAATCCCAAAGTCAGTCAGACGTGGATCGACTCCATGGCAAGGCTGGGCGCCAAGGTTCTGGTCATGGCCATGGACGTGACCGACCCGGGCAGCATCAAGAAAGCCGTTGATGAGATTGCCCGAACGATGCCTCCCATCGCAGGTGTTTGCAATGGATCAATGGTGTTGTCGGACAAACTCTTCATGCAGATGGACACGGAGTCTCTGCACACTGCCCTCCGACCCAAGGTCAATGGCAGCCTCCACCTCGACCGTGCTTTCTCGGGCCAAGACCTCGACTTCTTCATCATGCTCTCGTCAACCGGCAGCGTTATAGGAACCCCCGGCCAGTCCAACTACCACATGGCGAACATGTTCATGGCTGGGCTTGCTGCCGACCGGAGACGCAGAGGCCTAGCCGGGTCCGTCATTGACGTCGGCATGATCTCGGACGTGGGATATGTCACCCGCCAAGATCCCAACGTCGTCAAGAAGCTGCAGGCCATGTGCGTCCACGCTCTCTGCGAGACCGAGGTCCACGTCATGTTCGCAGAAGGAATCCTCGCCGGTCGTCCGGACTCTGATTCACGCAGCGAGCTCATCGCCGGTCTGGCAATCAGCGACAACGAAGTTGAGCGGCCTTTCTGGTCCGACGAGCCCCGGTTCGGTTTCTACGTCACGGAGAAGCGGGACTCGGCTACCGAGAAGGTCGGCCCCTCGGCTCTCGAAGACCTCCGGGCCGGCCTGCACTCGGCAGCCGACGAGGAGACCGTCTTCGCCAAGATCCGAGAAGCTTTCGCCCAGAGACTGGAGAGTCTTTTGCAGCTCCCTCAAGACGGTGCCAAGATGAATCTTCCTCTGGTCAGTCTTGGCCTGGACTCGCTTCTCGCGATGGAAGTCCAGACCTGGTTCCAAAAGGTGGTCGGCGCCGAAGTCAGCGTCCTTGACATTTTGGGTGGCGCTTCTGGGGATTCCCTCTGCCAAGCGGCGGCAGCTCCCATCTTCGCCAACAAACGCAGCAGTCCAGCAAAGATGGAGGAGGCTCCGAAGACCGATACCCAGCCTGACCTCAAAACAACCCAGCCGAGTGCACCGGTCCCAGAAGTGGATGGCCCACCGATGCCGGACACACCAGACGGATCACATCCAGTGCCAACTCCCATGACAGCCGACGGTAGCGAGTGGGGAGACGAGCAGACGGGCGGCTTGTACAGCGAGCGCAATAATATCCAATCAGTCGTCCAGCGGAGAGCGCAAATGTCCTTTGCGCAAGCCCGGTTGTGGTTTCTTCAGGGGTTCCTGGAAGATCCGACGACCTACAACGAGACATGCGTGTACGAGCTGCGCGGAGCTTTGGATATTGACCGTCTGAGGAATGCCTTCCGCCAGGTGACCTGGCATCACGAAATTCTGCGCACCTATTTCTACACGGACTCGTCGACTGGTTTGCCGATGCAAGCCGTGACGGCCACGTCCGCATGTCTCTTCAAATTCGTGGACGGCGCAACGGATGCCTCGACTGCGCAGGAGTTTCAGAACATGAAGGCAAGGAAGTGGAACCTCGAAGAAGGTGTCTGTCTAGGACTGGTCGTCCTCCGACACGCAAAGAACCGACATACTCTCATTCTTTCCAGCCACCACATAACTATTGATGGCGTCACATGGATCCTTCTCCTCAGGGATCTTGCGCGAGCATACGAAGGAAAGCCCCTGCCCACGGTCCCGCAGTATGTCGACTTTGCAGTCAAACAGCGGTCGATGGTCGAGCAGGGAGCCTGTTACGAAGAGACCCAATTCTGGAGGAATGAGCTTGCGGGCCTTCCAGACGTCATACCCGTCTTTCCCATGTCGCACACAAAGTCTCGCAAGGCGACGAACCAGTACGCCACCACCGTCGTCGATACGGTGTTGCCCAAGGAACTGGTCTCCATGATCAAGCAAACCAGCAGCCGTCTCCACGTCACGCCGTTTCATTTCCACTTTGCCGTGCTGGCGTCGATGGTGGCCCGCCTCTCCCAGGTCAACGACTTCTGCATAGGGACCGTTGACACGGGAAGATTGGGCACCGAATTCTCGCAGACGGCGGGGTGTTTCATCAACATCGTCCCCGTCCGGGTCAACGTGGGAGAGGCAGACTGCTTTGAAGCTTTCTGCAAGAAGGCTTCTTCGAAAATCCTGGCTTCTCTGAGGAACTCGGCGATTCCCCTGGACGCTCTGCTCGATGAGCTACATGTCCCCCGCACGACGCGGCACAGCCCAATCTTCCAAGTCATCATCAACTACCGGCTCGGGGTTCTGGGACTGGATTCCATCGGCGACGCCGCAGTCACGTACGTCCAGTCTCAAAGCTCGGGCAATCCGTATGACCTGGGAGTCAACATCACCGACACTCCGGACGGCACATGCCTTCTGCACGTCGCAGTACAAGACGCCCTGTATTCCAAGGAGGCCGCGCGGACAATCCTGGAATGCTACCGATGCTTGCTGGAGTCCGCCTGCGCGGCCCCGCAAGCCGAAGTTGCCGAGCTTCCCATGTACAAGTCTTCCGCGCCGAAACCTATCGGCGAGCGAGATGGGCAGGGTTTGACAGGAAGGGGCCGCCGATTCACGGTCGGTTCGAATGAGACTATTTCTCAGAAGATTGACCGCATTGCCCAAAGCCACCCGGATCTTATTGCCATCAAAGACGGGGAGAGGGCTTACACGTATCGAGATATGATGCAAAGAGTCGACAGCATCGCGGCATCTCTAGGAGCCGCTGGTGTTCCTAGGGGCACAGCGCCTTCCTACTGCCTGTTGATCGAGCCCTCCGCTGACTATGTTTTTGCCTACCTCGCAGTCTTGAAGCTTGGGGCCGTCGTTGTCTCCCTCGATACAACGAACCACCGAGAGAGGATAGCTCTGGTTGTCAGTGACGGCAAGCCACGGGCAATCATCCACTGTAAAGCCACGACCGATCTCGCCCAGTGGCTGGGGCAGTCTCAGCGTGGTGTTTCGGTCATGGACATCTCTTCAATTCAGGTTCGAGAAGATCAGCATGAAGTTCGCAACTTATCCGATCCTCAAGCGCCAGCCGTGCTTTTCTATACAAGCGGAACCACCGGGGTGCCAAAGGGAGCCATCATCAGACACGGAAACTACACCAACCTGATCGAAGCGGCATCTCGCAGGCTCCAGGTACGGCCACAGAAGGAGGTTGTCCTCCAACAAACCGGCGTCGGCTTCGATCTCTGCGTGTTTGAGATTTTCACGGCTCTCTCCAACGCGGGCAGTCTCGTAATGGCTTCCAGTGATCAACGCAGAGACCCGTCAGCAATCGCCAGCCTCATCAAGAACGAGAAGGTAACCTTCATGGCGGGCACGCCCGTCGAGTTCAAGACTATCTTTCAACACGCTGCGGAAACGCTCAAGACCTGCACGGACTTCCGCACAGCCGTCGTCGGAGGCGAGATCTTCACGACCCAGCTGGCGGCCCAGTTCAAGCAGGCGATGCCGCCGGGTGCTCGGGTCTTTAACGTGTACGGGACGACAGAGTGCTGCGTCTTCAGCACCGTTGAAAGCGTCGACTACTTGACGGACGGCGTAGCTGTAACCACGGGTACTGCTCTGGACAATGTTTCAATCTACGTCGTCGACGACGAGATGAACCCAGTGCCCAACGGCTGCGCCGGAGAAGTCTGCATCGGGGGCGCAAGCGTCGCCCAGGGATACCTTGACCGCCCGGAGCTCACCGCCAGGGCTTTCGTTGCGGACCCCTTTGCCACCGCGGAGGACCGGAGGAACGGCTGGAGTACGATGTACCGTACTGGCGATTCGGGGTATCTGAAGGCCGACGGTTCGCTCGTCGTTCTCGGCCGCATCAACGGCGACAGCCAGGTCAAGATCAGAGGCATGCGCATCGAGCTCGAGGACGTCGCGTCCAACATCCTCAAGACCTCCAACGGAAAGCTCTCCGAGGCTGTGGTGACCGTGCGCGGGAACGAAAAGACGTTGGTTGCGTTTGCCGTGATCGCGGCCGGGGCCCGGGGCAAGGAGGGCATCCACGAGCATCTCCGGTCGCTCCCGGCAAGCCTCCCGCTTCCCGAGTACATGCGACCTTCGGTAATCATTCCGGTCGAGCAGCTTCCCATGACTCACAACGGGAAGCTGGACCGGGTCGCGTTGAGCAAGATACCGATCCCGGCCCAGACTGAAGAAAGCCGGCGGGAGACGCCCCTGACGTCGCTCGAGCGCGATCTGAGTCGGGTCTGGGAAAAGGTGCTCCCCGACACCATTTCCCGGCCCGCCGACATCCTCCCCAGCTCCGACTTCTTCCAGCTGGGGGGGAACTCGCTACTGCTAGTGAAGCTAAAAAAGGAGGTCCAGAAGCGGTGGGGCGTCTCCGTTCCGGTACTCCAGCTGTTCGAGGGAAGCACCCTGCGGTCAATGGCGGCCACGATCCGAGGCGCCAAGGAAGCTCAAAACGAGGGCATTGACTGGGAGTTCTGGGACGAGCAAACCCGTTTCGACGTTGGTGTAGCTACCGATGTGTTGGACACTACCACCCCGTCTCACGTCGTCCCGGAGAAAGACAGAACCGTCATTCTGACAGGCGGCGGCGGCAAGGGACTGGGATCGTGGCTCCTGCGGCTGCTTCTAGACGACTCATCGGTTGGCAAAGTCCACTGCGTGGCCATCGGCGAGGAGCAGGTTGCCCAGCTTCCGTCCAGCGAAAAGCTCGTGGTCCACGTCGGGAGCCTTGCGGAACCGGGGTTTGGCCTTTCGGGCGAGACGCAGCAGGCCTTGCAGAGAGACGCGGACATCATCATCCACGCCGGTGCCGAGGGCTCTTGTCTCAACAACTACGACTCCATCCGCGCCCAGAACGTCGAGTCGACAAAGTTCCTGGCACGCCTGGCTCTGGCTAAAAAGGTACCGTTCCACTACATTTCTAGCCCCCGCGTCGTCCTGTTCAGCGGGCACAACGCGTACCACGAGCGGCTCATCTCGGCTCACTACCCTCCCGCGGATCTCGGCCGGGAAGGCTTCACCTCGACGAAATGGGCCAGCGAGGCCTTCCTCGAGAAGTGCGCGGCCGCCACCGGCCTGCCCGTGTCGATCCACCGCGCGGGCTACCTCATGTCCGAGGACGCCGACGAGATGGACGCGGTCAACATGATCCACAAGTACTCGGCCGTCCTCAAGGCGGTCCCGTCCCTAGCCGCGTTTTCCGGCTTCTTGGACATGTGTAAGCTGCCGACGACGGCGGAGGCAGTCTTGGAGTCGCTGAAGGGCGATGACGCCGCCGTCGGGGTGTCGTACGGCGCGATCAGGATCATCCACCACACCGACGGCAACGTGGTCCCGGTGCGCGAGTTCCGCGAATACATGGAGGCTCGATTCGGCCACCCTTTCGCCAGCCTAGGCATGGTTGAGTGGGCGGCCAAGGCCGAGGAGAAGGGAATGAGCCCTGTGTTGGCTGCTTTCCTGGAAGCCGTGGCCGAGAGGAGCGGCGAAGCACGCTATCCCAAACTCTTGCGCGGGAGTGGGCAGGAGGACTCTGCGAACACAGATCCTGTGTCTAAAGCTCTCTTGAGGCTTACCTAGTGGTGCTGCTTTAAGTGTAGGGGGTAAGTTGGGGTAAAGAGTTGTTGAATCAAGCGAATAATAGGGGTTAATTATGCTTAATATATTTGTGTGTCCAACTGTTGCGCCTAGCAGTAGAAATTCAAAAACAAGATAGACCTACGTAAGTCTAATATAGCAGCATACATCTCAGCCTTACTACTTCTAGTTTGGCTTACTTAACTAACCCCTCTAACTTATCTAGTTAAAAAAATCCCTAAGCTAGCCTATAAAACTTGCCTTCTATATACACAGCAAGAAGAACAAGACACAAAAGAGCGTCTGGTTTTTATGTTGCTTTAATTATAACACCATCTATCTCAAGAGATGACGTCTCTAAAAAGCAAGAAGTTACTACTAGAGCTACCTAATCTAGTAGTAAGTGTTACTATTTTACGTAGCATAAGCAGTAAGAGTAAACTAGTTAATAGGTGTTAAAGCGCGTAGATAAACCAGTAAGTAACAATGGCGTGGGAATACAACAATGCAGGGTTGAAGAGTCACATGGGAGGGGGCTGGTTGTCCATCGACGGACGCAGCCCCGAAGGCCGTGTAGAAGACCCCGGGAGTCACCTGATTCCATGTTACAAGCGCGTACATAGTTTGCTGCATAACGATTACGCGACGGCCACTAAGCGATAAGACGCTGTGATATCAAGCTCGTGGAAACTCTATTAGACGACCTGCAGCAGTTACAGTTGCAAGCGAGAAGGCCCTTGAACGGGTGTATATAGATAGACTAGGGGGGGGGGAAGGGGGTACAATTGGGCTTTGCGCCGAGCGGGCCGCAGTCGCTCGGAATATCCACCCACGAAGTGGATATCGCGAGAGCAGTTGGCCATGTCGAACTAAACCCTCGTGGCAAGATCAAGTGAAGGCCATCCGAAGTGCCAACGGAGCGACTCAAGTCACGATGCGGACAGGCATAACATCATCGTTAGTGCGCACCAGCATCCATACATGTACGGTCAACATGTCTCGGGGAATATCTCAAGTGGGCGCTCAAAGTAAGCACCAAGTGTGGATGCGCTACCGCATGATCTCGGCGAAGGCCCTCTCCACCCGCCTCAGTAGTCTCGGAGGAAGCTTGGACAGTGCCGGGGCGCGTACTTGGGTAGTTTATCTCGGATGGAGTGTAGCTCCGGGCACTTCCGGGCGCTACACTCATCCCTTACGTTCATCCCTTACATTCATCCCCCCATGTCACCATACGTTCTATGACTGTGTATGGCTATTACTGTGTACCCGTGCGATGCTACGGTATATTACCACTTTGTATTCCCACCTCGTTAACTCGCCATGCGGTCAGCATTTGTCAATCGGCGACGAACAACGGGTTCCGGGAGGCCGGGGGGGGCTGGCCCAAATCAAATTCTCGGTCTCGGTTATGTTCTCTAGGTGATGATGTGATTCTCCCACCTGAACACCTTGCCTCTTTGGACACTCAACCAAACCCCGCAAGGCCGGCCTTGCAGATATTGCATGGTCGGGTCGGTAGGCGAAGACGACAGCTGTGTTCGGAACGAGACTAACGCAGACAATAGGCAGCTTATCTCCGCCCACGGTGTCTGTGCCCGTCCCACGTTGACTGTGCACCCCGGCCGCCTACCGGTCCGTCCTTCACCTGATTCCTCATGGGTGGGTGAGTGAGTGGGTACGGAGACCAACATACGATGTGCGTTATGTTGTCTCCCGGGTGGAACTAAGGTGCCATTGGGGGCGCAAGACGAAGAGGCTGGCTATTCCACACAGGAGAGTGCTGGGACGGTGGTAAATGTTTTGCGGAGAGAAAAACGAAAAAAACAAAAGAGACGTGCTTTAGGTCGTACTATGTTGCGCGGTCGAGACTGTTGGAATAACACGAGGGACACCAGGTTTCGTCCCTGGCGCGCCCGGAGAGGTAAGAAGTGGAACGATACCGGCCATGGTTCTCCATGATTCGATCAAGCCAGAAAATCCTGGACGGGTTCATTGTCACACGTTTGGCGGTTTGAGACATCGCACGTTCACAGGTCTCAGCAAGTAGCTTTTTTTCCAAGTGGTCCGATCAAAGTCATTGCCCAACTATCGGGTATTATTCCTCACGCTGCGGTGGTATCCAGAGCAAGCAAGTGACATACACTACATCCGCAAACGCCACCTTTCCCATCCCGTGCCATGAACAAAAGAAAGCTTTCCCTAAAACGGTGAGCCGCTCCGCGAAGTCTTGGAGCTGCCGGCCTCCAGCCCGCGCATCGGCACCAGACTTGTCTCGTCGTTGTAATCCACCGCGTACTCTTTGGTGTACATGATGCCCTTCGGGCTGTTGGCGGCGCTGCTCGAAGCCGCCGATTCGCGGTCCAGGGTCTTGACCTTGGTCTCGGTGCCAAGAGTACGGGCGCGGCTACGGGGGCCGTTGCTGCTCGAATTCACGTAGTACTTGGCGGCTTGGGAGCCTCCGGTGCGGGTGCTGCCGAGGATCTTGGGGAAGAGGCGGACGAGGATGACGCGGACCGCGGGCAGGCAGGCGCAGATGATGCCGACGTTGATCTCGACGGTGGACCACACGGCCACGCCGAACTGGTCCCAGGTCGGGTTCTGCGACTTTTCGAACTGGACCAGTGATTGCAGGCGGAGGATGCTGACGACGGTGACACTGAGAGAGAGTGTGTGTGCGGTTAGCAGCCATGCCCGGAGAGAGAGAGTGTCGATGGCGGGGCGAAGATGGAGCTAAACTTACAAGGTGCCGACGAAGAACATCAGCGCCACGCTGATCTTCTTCTTCCAGTGGAGGTTCAGCGTACTGATCTGAGACAGGGGGAGTCCGAGCATCCAGCAGTCCAGGATGATGCTGATGCCGGCGTTGGCCCAACCGATGCCGTTGACGTTCAGGCACACGCCGCTGTGCTCCTGGTCCCATTTCGTCCAGTAGAAGCTGATCGGGGAGCACTGGAAGACGGCGAGGAAGATGAAGGTGGTGCCGAAGACGGCGTTGAAGGCGACGGTGCCCCAGATGAGCTGCCTCATGGGGGCGTTGTGCGAGAAGATGCGCATGTAGAAGAACAGGAGGGACATTTTGAGCAGCGTCACCTGGGCGAAGTACAGGATCTCCATGATGTAGAACCAGTACCCGAAGCTGGTGATGGTGTCGGGGGAGAGGGTCCAGATGTCGCGGCCGAGGCCGTGGGCGCCGAGGCCGACCGAGTTGATGACGGTGCTGGGGAGCCCGGAGCAGAGGGTGATGAGGATGAACCAGTCGTCCATGCCGAGGTCGCTTACCGTCACGAGGGCCTTGTGCGACAGCCGGACGATGACGAAGATGGCCGAGAGCGCGCCCATCGTGATGGAGACGGTGTTGTACTGGGCTGTGCTGCTTCGCGGAACCACGCCGCACGTCGTCTGAGTGGCATTCTTGGTGACTGTAACGGTCGATGTTAGCCGACCGTTTGGCCGGGCTGATTTGAGACCTCCCATCGTGGGGGGGGGAAAGATCGGCTGAGTTTTGGGGGAGGAAGGGCGACCTGGGAAGAGAACATACCGAGGGCATTCTTGAGGGTACAGGTCTTCATGACACAAAGTTCGACGTTGGCCTGCAAAGCGGCGTTTGTGCAGATGCACGTCTGGTTGGTCGGCGTGCATGGGGAGCTGAGGATTGCCGTGACGAGACAGGATTGCTGGCACACACGAATGAGCTTCCGGGTCCTGGTTGACCAATGTATTATCACGAAGTGGCGCATAACATACCGCGCAAGCCGGCAGCAGGGCGACGGCTGCTGAGGCATCGCCCTGGGCCGCGGCGCTCGAGAGCGCCGCAGCGAGAGACAGGAACAGAGTAAAGAGCCTCATCGTGTGGGTGGTTTCCGGGGTGAGAGATGAGAAAGACGCCCCTCTTTCTCTTCAAGAAGGGTCTCCGGTAGGGGAAATCGAGGGTTGTCGGCGCGTGCTAGATATGTATCTCGTCGATCATGGCGTAGAGGTCATATTGGAGAGACGTTCGTCGTGATGGAGGCGTCGAAGGTTTTCCTTTGAAATGTCGAAAGGGGGGGGTGGGCGGAAGGGGTCATTAAGGTTGTCGTGAAACGTCTCTTCTCCGGCTCTTAGTCAACGAGAGCATCTAGAGAGGAAGTCGGCCACTTCCAACTAGCGGCGTACCAACACGGAGATGATACTTGATGAAGCGAGCCAAGTATTGTGCAGCGATCCACTCGGCCCAGCGCCACAGGAGGTCTGTGTGTCCTTTGTGCCGGCGGGTGCAGTTATACATGGCGATGTGATAACGACAGCGGTGTCTAGTATGTGCCATACATCATGCAAGTATCAGAGAGCGGTGGCCGTGGCCGTGGTCGTGGTCGTGGTCGTGGTCGTGGTCGTGGTCGTGGTGGCGGCTGTGGTTGACATCTCCCACTTCCGAGAATGAGCGCCGAGCAGGACCTGACAGGGAGAGGCCATGAGGTACAGGTAGGACCCTGTTTCCCACCTCTGAACAAGGGGGGGGAGGAGGAGGATGGGATGGGATGGGATGGGATGGTCCAGAGCTCATCAGACAGTGGCAGACGAGGGTCTCCTGCGTTGAGGAGCGGAACCACGATACACTGACATGCAGCATGTGCCCCGCCAACGTGGAATAGCGGCAAACGGAGGGTCCTCGAAGCGATTTAGGTAGGTAGTTTCCGGTGAGGGGACCAAACATGGCGAGACGAGGGGCAACCCACAGATATCATCAGACTAGGCCAGGCCGAGAGATGCCCGCCTCCAGTACGAAACCCCCAAGTGCTCACGACATGCATATATTCCAAGGGAGGGAACAAAACCCCAGAAGGAGCGGCGTCCAGGCAGGGCCACCGACAAACAGCGAACAAGGACCAGGTGTGTATGTCTCGTGCGCAGGGGTCAACGACAGGCCGCCCAGTGAGAGATTCTCCTCAAAACTTCTTCACTTTGAGTGAGCGAATGGGGCAAGCAGCTCTGCAAGGGGCCAGTGGCCCAGCCAGCATTCCATCGAGTAGGTAGTATGCGGATACGTGAATCCTCTCACCAACCCACTTGCGGATCCAGGCATCCCGCAACCCGTTTGCCATCCGCCGCGGCCCCCTCCCCCCCCCCCCCCCATCCTTACGTAGTACACTTCTCGGCAGTCCGCACGACGAGATGATAGGATGCCGGCTTCGTCTTGGAGGGGAGAGGGACGGGTAGCACGAGGGAAGATCGTTGCAGCGGGTAAAGTACGGCACGGCGAAGAAGAAGAGAAAAGCTTCTCGATGCCGGAGGCTGACCGAGGCTTGGCGCACGGCAATGCACGTTTGGGGCGAAGCTGACTCTTTAGCTCTCAGCCTCGAAGGGGGGAGGGTTGCAGGCTTGACATGCGCCTAAAGCATGTCGAATCCCACGAGGGGTTTGACTTGGGAGGGGGGGGAAGGGAGGGATGAGAGAAGAAAAAGAAGAGAAAAAAAAGAAAGAAAAATCACAAAAGACAAAGTCATGGTCCGGCGCTTACGAAGGACAAAAAGAGAAAACGTCCGAAGTAGAGCCAAAGTTTTGTGTGTAACGGCACTGGAATATGCATCGAAGGGAGGCGGCCTCTTCTGGAAACCGATCCCCGTCAACAGGCCGACGCCACGTCTTCAAATCTCTTGTTTTTTTTTTTTTTTTTTTTTTTTTACTCCTTGCAGCACAGCACTGGCTCGCCTGGGCGGTACTATCCCTATCCTGGTGGCACATCCGGCATGCTGCGCGCGTGTGTGTGTGTGTGTGGCAAGGGGAAAAGTGAGTGCAGATGGGGAACGTAGAGAGGCCCCCTGACACGGCACGATAGACCATTGGCGGTCTCCCGACGCACTTGGACGCACTAGGACTAGCGCACGATCGGTGTTGCGACATGAGGTCTGCGATGGATTAGGATGTAGAATACGAGGAGAGACCAAGGAGAATCCGACGTTGAACGGGCTCAACTCGGGAATGGGGGCCAGATCGGAAACACTGCCACGCAAACGACAAACTACTACGGAGTACAGAGTTGCAATCGAACAAGCGGCCTCGCCTCGATGGCAGGATCGTGACGTGGTCGAGCAATCTCCATGTGCAGTATCCGTACATGGCGACGACTCCTTCTGGCCCCTCTGCCTTGCTTTCAACCCGAGAGTGACCCCCCGCGGCTTAGCCCACTGCTCTACCGTGCCGTACGTGCGCGCGCGTCCCCGTCAAGGGTCAACGTCAATATCCGCGGGCCAGACCCGACATCTTGAGACGATAAGGTACGGTGGAGGATCCATGAGGGCCCAGTTCCTGAGTCCCCCCCCCCCCCGTCGTCCTTTGGAATGTTCAGTCGGGGAGGGTGGGGGAGGCTTTGGCGATAGGCTGGATGTTTAAGTAACCATGATCTGTTGCCGGGGTCCATCGTCAATATCTTGCTGTGAACTTCGCAGACGGATGGTAGACCAAGGAGGCCCGAATACTACCGTTGTTGTTTGAAAGCGTTTGAAGTCTGTGGAGAACAGGTGGAGGGCCGATGAGATTCATGGCTGCATAAGTGAACGGATTACACAGATATAGCAGGCCAATCATGTGCGGCATTTCAGCTGGTATCCCTGAACCAGTACCATTGATGTTTGTCACGTCAAGAATCGTTGATAAGGTCAGGAATGCGAGTGCGCTACGGATTTCCGTGAGAGAGTCAGATGATAACTTACTGAAGACTTACCCAATGTCATGTAGAGGCGGCATATAGTAGAATCACTACTCGTCTCCCCCCCCTTCTTTCTGCCAACTTCTTCTTTTTTCTTGGCGTCTCTTCTAGAGTCTAAATCCGATGTCCCATTGACGCCCGGTCGACGCCACGCCAACGGCAATTATCGACGGTAATTCAGCCATCCGTCCTCCCCGGCGCCGGCCGTGTGGAACTCGAGCCCATTGGACTCGCGGTTGTGGCTTAGTAAGTATTGTTCTTGTCCTGGTGCAATGAGGAGTTGTCTGTCCACATACTTCTGTCCTGCCTTGGCTCTTCGACTCCTTCCATTTCCGCGTCGTACGACACCGGGCGGGCTCGGATGGGGTATGCTCCGTATTAAGTGCTGCCCTGTTCCTTGCTCTCATCCTACCGGGACCAGGGGTCCGGTCGCCGGCCACCGGTGGGTTGAGAGGGGACCATAAGGCAAAGACGGGTCAGGTAAGAGATTAGGACGCAGACGAAGTAGGCATTCCACCTCAGCCTGAGCCGACCCCTCTCCATGACCAAGAAAGACCGTGTGCGGGAGGCTTGGCTGTCCGTGGTGATGTTGGGGGTGGCGCGAGATCGAAACTCAAGCCCACCACCACCACCACTCGGCATTGGCACGCACTCTACGACCGGACTCAGTCCCGGTGGTCGGGCCGGGGCCGAAGAGTCATTCATTCGTTCGGCCTTATTTTGCTGCCATGATTTTGGGGGGGGTAATTTATTCGAGCAACACTTTTTTTTTGTTCGTGACTGAGGTGTGTGTGTGTGTGTGTGTGTGTGTGTGTGTGTGTGTGTGTGTGTGTGTTTGCGCTTGTCAAACCCAACGGATCTCGGACTCTCGCCCACCTTTTACGTCAAATAAAACCATCATACATGCATGTCATGCCTTGCGCAACTGCACTTTGCTGGCTATATAGGGGGGAAAGTCTGACATCGAAAGGCACAGTCGGCCCTTTGATTCGCCCGCCCGTCCTCACCACAACCCCCTTTTTCCATCTCGTGGGAAGATCGATGCTTGCAAAGGGGCCCCCTTGTTCACGCGAGCACGGACATGTCCTGGAGCCCTGAGAAATCGCTTCCTGTTTTTGATATCCACTGCGGATTTACGATGCACGTATCAGAGCTCGCGGATCTGGTTCCACGGTTCGGCGTGAGTCCCAGCTCCTTGCTTTTTGCTTATTGCTTACTTGGTTCTTGCTCGCTTGCTTTTGTAGGGCAGAGCAGATGGACTGTAGATTGATTGATTCCTCGGCCAAGGCAAACAGCCTGTAGGGCAATTCGGAGACAGTCCGCGTCTCTCCCCCTTGTCTCTCCCCCCGGGTATTGTTGCCTGGTGCCCAATCCACAGATCCATCCATCCCCTTCACCATCCCCTTCGGTTCCCGTCAACATGTTGTCGAATGTCAAATGTCGAATGCATTACGATGTCTGGTAGACCCGAAACCTCGGTTCCGTGCTGCTTGGCGCCCCGGTGCGAAGAGAAAACTGACGCGCTGGCGGAAGACCGTGTTTGACCTTTGTGCTTACCCCCTCCTCGGACTTGCTCAACAAATCCCTTGGAAGTTGAATCCTTGGCTGTCGCCCGTGATTGGAACGGAACGGCACATGTCCAGTCCGTCCCAATATCCGGAAAGTCCAGGCGAAGCCAAGATGACTTTCCACCTCCCTTTTGTATGATCCTGCAACAATATGGATGGGTATTAAGGTTTTTGACCCCCGCGAGATCGATGCTCTGACTCTTGACGTCCCGGGACCAAGGTTGACAACCCCCCCAGCGAAGGCGGTTCTGGATCGGATACGACTGGATCAGACGGCTTGAGAACGTGGAAACCACGCTGTCGAGGTTTCACCGGTGTTGCATATCCAGTGGCCTTCGAAAACCTTCTGGCTCGCGCCACACATCGCATCGCCGTGCAGGAAGGTTCCGAGATCGACCTCCCCTCTGGTAACGCCATGTGACCTTTCAAAAGACTCACTTCGTGCACGAACGACTCAGGCTTCCTAAGACCGGGGAAGACAGATCTG